GCAGTCCTGTAAGTAGGCTATATATTTCTATTTAGTAGGGTTTATCTTATAGGAGATATAGAGGTAGATATAGGCCTAGCCTCTAGTCTCTATTACTTTAGGATATAGTAGTTAATAAGTTACTTAAGTAGGGTGATAGGTAGTATCCTAAAATAGATTATCCTATAGTTCTTATATAGTGATAATATCTACTCTTAGGACCTCTAGGTTATATAAGAACTAAGCTATCACTATATTCTTAGAATAGTATACATTATATTGTAGTATTTAGAATATTCTATCTATAGAAAGTGTAATATAGGGTGTTCTATATACTCTTTTAATAGCTACTAGTAAACTAGGGCATTCTAGTTTCTATAGAGAAGTTAACCTAGGGATCTTTCTCTAGTTATATAGCCCTCTCTAGTTATATAGGGGTATCCACTCCCTACTTCTATTTCTTCTTTTCAGCCTAGGTGCTACTAGAGTTAGTGTTAGTATTCTTATCTTATAGGATAAAGCTGGGCTACTAGTTACTCTTAGAGGTGTTAGGGAGCTTAGTATAGCTATTTTTATTATTAGTAGTAGTGTTATTATCCTGGTATATATTAAGGTAGGTCCCATGTGTGATGGCTATCTATTAGTTTTATAGTTGCTTAGGGGGGTGATTATTATCTTTATTAGTTAGGTCTGGTAGGTTAATATTACTTAGGTAATCCATGATTTAAGCAGAGTAGTGGGAGGTAATAGGGCTAGTTTAATTAGTAGATCTAGTTTAACTAGTAGAGCTGGTTTAGTTAGTTAAGGCCTTCTTCTTTATGGATGTGGAAGAGGCCTTAGGGTATGGTACTAGGGGGGTGAATAAGATATTATTAATATTCTAGTCTAATAGGGATATTAGAGAGGATATTAAGGTAGGCACCTAGCCATAGGGTAGCTGCTTATAAGATAGCTCTAATCTTACCTTCTTAGATCCCTTAGATAATCTAGTAGTCTTTTTTACTATAGTAGCATCCTTAATGCCCTCAGGTTCCTCTATTTATATAGGGGAGCCCTTTACTAAGGTGTCTAGGGTGGATACTAGGGAGGAGGTACTTAGTATAGTAGTGGAATCTAAGCTACTACTCTTAGGATCCCTTTAGAAGTCTTATAGGTAGGGTGGAATATAGTAATATTACTAGTAATAGTAGAAAGTTGCCTATACCTTATCTACCTCCTCTGTATACTTCTTATATCCTTTAGACTAGGTAGCATATATACCCCTATAGTTAGTGCACTTTCTTAACTCCTAGCTAGTGGCCTACTAGAGCAGGTAGTCATAGGTCTTATAACTGCCTATATAGAGGCTATAGATAGTTTTATTAGAATAGATACTTTCTATGTGGCTATATTACTGATAGTTAAAGTACTAATGGATGTGAGTAGACTGGTTATATAAGACTATAGTTAGGATAGTAGAATCCCAGATAGTTCCCTTATTAATAGCTTTATTAGTGGCCTGGGGAGTAGAAAACTTAATTACTAGGGTAGAAGACTTCTTATTAGCAGGCTGGTTTATAAGCTAGGTAATATAGATAATCTTTACTAAATTACCCTATATAAAATAGTTTATAGCTAGTAACTAGTTAGCAACTTGCTTAGCCTCCTTAGGGTCTGCTAGGTTACTAATTAATTTAACCTAGATATTATAAATTACCATGCCCTAAGTTAGCAGGCAGATGACGGCCCTCTAGTAGAATGATTTAGCCTAGCTAGGGTGGTAGTATATAATCTCTACTTACTAAGTAGTCTATAGGCTGAGGCTTAAGTTACCTAACTTAAGCTAGCAGATAGCTATAAACTTAATAGATATAAGAGTAGCTACTATAGCCTCCTTTAAGGCCTTTATATAGGCCTTCTTAGCCCTATTCTTTATCTTTACTGCCTTTAGGTGCTAGAATGTGCTTACTATGCTAGTGTCTAGTAGTTTAATAATAACCTTATAGTCCTTGCTTAGTTCTAAGGGGGTAGCCCTGGGGCTGCTTAAGGAGCTATAGAAGGAGATTATATAGCCTAGGGGGGATGCCCCTGTGGCAGTAGCTATATATAATTAAATCTTAGTAGATATAGTAATAGATTAAGTAGTTAGAATATACTAGGTAGAGGTGGTGTTCTTCTTAATATTAAGAGTAATCTTATAGAGGTTAGTAACTGCCTTCCTCTAGTTATTACCTAGGGGGTTTTTAAGGACCTCCTTAATGATAGTATATATATTAGTAATTAGCTTAATAAAAGGCTTTAGGATTCCTTAATTATAAATCTTTAGATAGTTTAAATAGATGCTTATATTATAGTGAAGGTCTAGGATATAATTATATAGAGTTTTTTATAGCCCCTTTTCACCACTGTGGGAGGCTATTAGGGGCGGCTACCCTGGCTTTAATAATAATATAGTAATTAAGACCCTATAAAATTAGGATTAATTAAAGGTAGTTATCATCACAAGAAATTAGGCAAATTTTAGGGTTGAAAGACATTAATTTAGGTAAGAAATTTCAAAAATTTGTTCTGCGTCGAAGTTGTTGTTCCTTAATTTTATTAGCCTGGATGCTAAACTTATAATAATAGTTATACTTAGGCATCATAAGAAGCAGTATAGATAAGGAATAAGGAAGAGAGACTTACTAGGATAGGGGAGTAATAGCCTTATAAGTAGTTTTGAGGATAAAATACTAGGAGGGGGGGGATGATGTTATAATACTAATACTACTAGGCAGATATTAGGGGTAGAATTAGAAGGATAATAATAACTAACTAATCCTTAGCTACTAAGGTCTTATAAAAGATAAGTTATATTATAATAATGCCTAATTTAGCTATAACTCTTATATCACTAGCTACTATATACCTAACCTTAGTAATAGTAGATAGTATATAACTACTATTATAACTACCCTATTATGATAGTAAGAATAGTAGGTAAAGAAGGAACTATATAAGGATACTTATTACTACTATATCTAGAGATCTTAGTTTAGTTCTTTATATTTAATAAAGATAACTTACTTAAGTATAAGTTTACTAGTCTAATTTATTAATTACTCTCTTATTATTAAAGATATATCCTTAATAGGCCTTACTTCTATCTTTATTATTATTATTATTATTATCCTTAATCTTAGATAAGATTATTATACCTTTAGATTATATTAGATCCTAATTAGATTATTATATCATGTATTACTATATACCTAGGTTAGTATATAGTAGGCTACTATAGAGGGTAGGCCTTAGGCAAGTATTAGATATAGTCTAGGGACTATATCACCCTATTCCCAAAGTCATTAACTAGCAGAGAACAGTAGAGACGGATCCCAGGGTGTGACAGGTAGTTAAATACTAGCTATTAGATATCTTATTATCTATGTCTATTATATAAGTATAATTATAATTATTAGATTAATTAGATAAAGACTTCTTATTAGGCTTCTTATCTAGATTTAACTCCTAGTAGTTAGGCTTCTTATAGCCTATTTTACTATAATAGTAGTACTTCTAGTTCTTCCTAGTTTCCTAGGGAACCTTGCTATTAGAATCTTTCTAGTTATTTAAATTAGAATTAGAATTAGACTAATTTAATTAATTTAATTAGTTTAATTTATCCTTAGAATTACTATTCTTCTAAGCTAGCTTCTTCCCTTTCTATACTTTTATAATATTTATAGATAATATATTAAACTTTATACATATCTCCTCTTAGATCAAAATCTATATAATACTATTAAATATTACAGTTTTCTTATTATAATAACTATTAAGATAAGATATAAGGAATGTCTCCTATATCTTACTAAGATTATAGAGTAAGAATTAGATCTTAGTAGATTTAGGAAGCTGCTTGCCTTTCTTAAGGCTATAATTAAATTTATTAAATATAAGAGATAGCTTTAATATATAATCTTAGACTCTATTATAGCTATTATATACTATATTAATAGCTATCTATAGCCCCTTAAAGGACTGGATGTCTGCTATTATATTATATTTCTTATTAAGATAATCCTAAATAGCTTTAGATAATTCTAGATTAATTACTTCATGCCTAATAATATAAAAGAGAGTAGAATAGATAATACTATAAGCCTTATTATCTATTTCCTCCTAATCTTAAATTATCTTTTTAATTCTCTCCTACTACTTAGAAAGCTTAGTATTATTAGATAATCTAGTCTAATAGCCTATTTCTTATAGCTCTAGCTTCTTATAAGTTCTATTAATAGTCTATTAGACCCTCTAGCTATATAGGTAAGTCTTTATAGCTTTAGACTATATTTAGTAGGAATCTACACCTATAAGTAATAGTAGCTTATTAAGATCTACTTAAGGCATCTTAAAGGAAGGTTTAAATAAAAGAATAAGATTTTAAATATATCTAAGAGTAATTACTAGACTTCTATACCTATAAGGATTCTTAAATATAAGAACCCTTGCAGGGCCCTATTAATTAAGGTAATAAAAGGATAGTTTCTATTTTAGGTAGAATATCTAGCCCTAGAATAAGTATCTTTAGTAGAATGTCCACTAAAAGATAAGGCTTTTAAAAGTAAAATAGTAAAATAGCTTAAGGAAAGAACTTAGGAATAAATCCCCAGAGCTCTCTAAGAGGCTCTAGGCTCATAACCTATAAAATTAATTGATAGGGAGCAGAAGATATGAAGATATTCATTAAATTTATTATATATATAAAATCTATATTTACTATCATACAGTGGAAGGAGCTATCTACTGAGCAAGATCACATGATCAGATCTCCACCATACCAGGTATGGCCACAGGTTGAAACGTACGTCAGTGACAGTAAAGTCGTCAACCTCGATGAGGCTGGTAAGCCTACTTTCCTGGCCTTTAAGGATATGAGTCAGGCGCCGTAAACGAGGATCGTTGCTATGATACATATAGAGCTTCACAGATTGAATGGACCGAAATGCTATGTCAAGTGTCAAGTCTTTGTATAACACACTCTGTTCATACATATTTCTGATTTATGCGGACGACCAAAGACCGCAAAGACAACCCCCGGCACTCCATGACCAGAGCATAACACGCTGGAGAGCTAATTTGGAAACAGTATGTACGAGCTGTAGTGTGGAATCCTCATTGGCTTCAATCGCCTGCAGGGTCACCTTTGCTACCGTAGAAAGCCCATCACCGGTATCTGCAACCCCAGTCATGGGGCGCTTCTCTGCAGCCGGAGGACCTGAAGCGGCAGTCTTTGACGCTGATCCGGTGGCAGGATTAGATACAGGTCTCATAATCTCGCTAATCAGAGAATGCATGTGCATCACGTTGGTCTCCATAATGCACGTCAGCACGAGGGATTGGACTGACGAGGTCTTGGGCAGCTCAAAGGAGCCAACCGCCAGGCTTGGCAATTGGGTCGGAAAGCAGAAGCTGCTCTGGTCGTCATCCGGAGTCGTAGCGCTACCTCTGACTCCCATCTTCAGCCGCACCTTTAACCAGGCCTCAATGTGCTGCAAGATCTTGTCGTAGGATGCGAGGAGGCACATGTAGCTAGACAGAACAAGCAACTGTGACGGTTGATCCAATGCGAGTTGTGCTAGTGTCTGAGAATCATTGCATGACCTGCATGACTCGAGTCGAGCGCAAATGCTAGTTAACAGTCCCGTGTATTGACTTGATAATTTAAACGTGCAGTCCACTGGTAGTTCTATAGGGCTCAGAGGGTATCCTGAACCACTCCCCTGCGTCCCCTGCCCAGTACAAACGACGGGTATTGACTGCATGTGCTGGTGAAGCTGCACGTTGGTGTCTGACAGTCTGCGGATCCAAGAAGTCATTGGAGTGATGCGCGTCAGGAATTGGATTTGAGGGCTCCTCCCGGTCTTGGGGATTGCCCCGCAGCTCCGAGTCTGAATCTGGCGCGTCCCCATAAGGCGACTGCAGTAGATCGGAAGGAGATAATTCATTACCATAGCCAGAATCTGGACGTGAACCTTTGCCATCGGCTCCTTTTAAGTTCTCTCCTGCTTGGTCAAAGTCCACCATCATGTCATCGTGCCCTTGCTGCTGTGCATGCTGAGGGGACATGTTTCCAGCCAGAGACACGCGATGTCTGTGATAGGTCGAGGGAAAGGAAGGCCGCATCGTGGCGGGTAATGAAAAGTCGTACAAGTCGTTAGAAGGTTCTTGATTGGGAGCATCACTCCAGCGTGTCTGTCCTGCTTGTTCAGCAGTTCTCAGATGAGACGCCGGTTGAGGAGGACATGACGGTTGACTCGCGTGAAGACTCCCTGCGGCACCATACGGAGCCGTCAATGCAGGATGGATGTCGGCCTGTAACGAGGAGGGATCCAATCCGAGATTCAAGTCGCTTGGCATATCCAGCAAGCTCGTCGGCAGGTAATTGAAGTGGTCTGAATGCTCGTCGTTCACATCATTCGGGCCTTCTTCTTGATTTACTGTGACTCCGAGTAAGCCTTGCATCATTCACCTGCGTCACTATCGTACATTGCACACTTACCATGATGTGGTCGAGTACTATCACCATTGGCATGAGGTTGTGACTGCTGCTGTTGCTGCTGCGTATTCTTGGTGGATTGGGCTCGAGACCGCAGTCTCATGGGCCGTGGAGTACATCGAACACCTGCCCTGGCGCAGCGCACACAAGTGTCGCTATTACTCTCTCGTCGACAACGTAACTTTTGGCCATGGCACCGATCACAGGCTCGATGAGAGAACCCCAAATCGTGAACAAGCATGTTCATTCCACGTTTCGGCTATCCACGAGACTCGGACTCTTGAGGTAGTGCACAGACGTCGGACTGAAGAAGGAAAAATAAAGAAGCACGAACAATATCCTACTGAACAAACCCTGGTCTTCGGTGATCGGTCTGACCGCGAGATTTGTATAATTCCTCACAGGCGAAGTCTTTGTTTCAGCCCCCACCACTGCCCATTTGTTTGGGTTTCCCACTAAGCTGAATGGCCATCCCACTCAACCTTTTGTCGCCATACAGCCCAGACGCTTACTGTTTGACGACAATTGTGCGAATGCTTCTACAGAAGCTAGTCAAAATTACGGTCTGGAGGTCTTCTTGTCATTGGCAGAAGCCTCACGCTTCAGGGCGGCAGATAGTGGAGAAGGATCGAGCCCAGTCAGATATTAGGTTACGGCTGATGCTGATCTCGAAGATAATCTTCTAGATATTTATATAGTGGCACGTCAAATGTTTGAAGCCAGGGTATTTACCGCTAGCCAGATAGATCCCTCAACAATTAGTAGTCATATCAGATACTATTTCTTAAGTTCCTCCCTAAAATCATCCTTTTATACTATATAAGATACTATATAAAAGCCTTCGAGAGGTACTCTGTAGAGGTGACTATAATTTACCACTTATATAACCCTGTATTAGCCTGTAAAAAATACTCTAAGAGTGGTCTAGGGTAGGCAGGCAGTGGTACGCACACATAAAAAAGTACCCTAATATAAGGAATTTTGTATGGGAGAGAGAATTTTTACTAGGAATATCTGCATATTGGAGTATGGGAACGACACCAAGATTAGTTGCTATATCCGAGGTTTTCCTTATCGGAGACTCGGAGTTACTTAAGGGTTTTACTGTAGTCCGAAGAGGCATATGATCTTCCTGCAGGACCAATTAACTTTCGCTAATCCACTGGGTCGATTGGTCTCCTGACTCGGCAGCTTCACTCTGAGGTTTTATCACCGGGTCTAAGCAGCTGGCTTACTCTCGTTTACCCATCAATGCTTCCACCCAAGGCGAGGGAAATTAGCCGTCGCAACAACCAGAGTCTGTCTCAACTGCATTAGCGCTACGTTTAGGTTAATTACATGATTATTGACAATTTGCAATCACTTCGTAAAGGTAGTATTTGGGGCGGCTCACTTTGCAGGCTGATGGGCTGATCTGACCAACGGGGGGGACAGCAGAAGCGATGCATTGGCCAAAGTGAAAGTTAGCTCACTAGATCCAACAGTAGAATTCGGCAGCATTGTTAGAGTAGTATAAAGTTGGCGCGCAATAAAGTATAGAATATTACTGCCTTGAGGCCAACAGCATTGTGCCGGGTAACAAAGAAGCAGAGCCGAGCATCAGCAAGCACCGCTCCAAATACTAGGTATCCAAGGCCACCTATATTGCATTATACCTACGTAAATATTGGCATCTAGGCTGGTCTAGGTATGAAGAACACGATATTCAAGTCTAAGACAGTTGTAATATTCATTTGCTGCGTTACGATGGATTACACCGCAATTTAGACGAATGGCGGAGAAATATATATCTCTGGGTTTCGTCCAAGGCGTGGCAAGCCCGGCGCAGTTGTCAAGATAGGAAGGCGCAATTTATGACCTCTACTATAATGTTCTAGCGCTATTGTCCTCCAATCTATTTAGATTTGGATAGATCCATCTGATGTTTTAACTGGACCACTGGTACTGGAGTGTGTTTCCTATCGGAGCTGCGCCTCGGCACATACTGTTATTCATGTAGTATTGCACACGAGGCATAGCCAACCCTGTCCACCTGCATTATCTTGTTTAGGAATGGTCTACATCTACAAGGATTTGGCCCCATAAGATACTATCAGATACACAGGCCCCTCCAAGTTGGGTTAGTGCACCTTACAAAAGAACTGTACTGTATCCGTGCCTAGGCTTACCCTCACCACTCTGTATTGAGGGTGAGCCACACCGAAACCACCAACCACAGCAAAACCACTATGTTATCTTTTATATAGTATTATTATATAAAAGGTACATACTTAGTATATACTCCCTAAGTCTAATATCTTAGGTGTTCACTAGGGGCAACTATAATTTCAATAGTAAAATTAAAATATTAAGAGGGAACATCTTATAATTAAAAGCCTTTTAAGAGTTTTAACTCTCTTTCTTAGGGAAAAAATAAAGAGAGATTATTTTATCTTAAATACTTATAATTTTCCTTTCTAATAATAAAGATAGTAATAAAAGATAGACACTTATATATCTAAATAATAATAAACTAGAAAAACCAAATGTGTACATACCTAGAGTGAATAATAAGTATATACCTTTTATATACGGAGTAGTGATGCTATATAAAAGGTACATAGTGGTTTTGCTGTAGTTAGTGGTTATACTATAGCACACCCCCACCAGGAACCAGTGTGGGTATGCTTAACACAGATCCCCCTCTACAGAGTACTCTGACTGAATAATATTTTCCATGTGAAATAATCAATCTGAGTTACGGATAGAGCCTAGAATAGACCCTATCTTAGGTATCCACCTCCTGCTGTGAATCTGTCACTGCTTCTTTGGTCTCGCCTCCTCCTGCCCCGCCTCCAGCAGTGCCCCACTACGCTCGCTGTCCAGGCAGTGTACGGAGTATTCCGTAGATATCTAGACTACCTACTCTGAAATCTTCGCTTTTCTTCAGTGTGGTTGTGCTTGGTCAAATTTACATACCATTTGCTCCCCCAGAGATATTCGCGAACCGTCCCCTGTCTCCTTGTTTCCTTCTTTGCTAGATATGACTATCGACCCACCAGAGCTTCTCGAGAAGCTGAAGATCAACGGTAAGAGTTTCATGATGTGATACTCGCCATGTATTCCGGCAGCAACACAGGCTAATACCTGCTTTTGACTGTCAGATGCTGGTGCAAACGGAACATCGAAGGAAGCAGAGGACTCGGACGACGATGTCGCCGAAAACACCCCAGCAGTAGCTGCCGAGGACGGCACTGCCAAGAAAAAGAAGAACAAAAAGAGAAAGCCCAAGAAGAAGCAACCGAAAGTCCAGACCGACCCGCCATCGATTCCCCTATCCCAGCTATTCCCGAACAACTCCTACCCCAAGGGCGAGGAGGTCGAATACAAGGACGAGAATCGATATCGCACCACCAGCGAGGAGAAACGACACCTCGACAACCTCAATAGCGACTTCCTCTCTGATTACCGTCAGGCCGCTGAGGCACACCGTCAGGTCCGTCAGTGGGCACAGAGAAGCATCAGGCCGGGTCAAACGCTCCTTGAGATTGCTAATGGCATCGAGGATTGTGCGCGACGTCTGGTGGGTCATGATGGTTTGACTGAAGGCGACTCTTTGATAGCCGGCATGGGATTTCCCACGGGTTTGAATATTGATAACGTTGTCGCCCATTACAGCCCTAACGCCGGCTGTAAGACCGTGCTCGCGCAGAACAATGTCCTCAAGGTTGATATTGGCATTCATGTAGGCGGTCGAATTGTTGACAGTGCCTTCACAATGGCGTTCGATCCTGTGTATGATAACCTACTCGCAGCTGTCAAGGATGCAACGAATACTGGGGTGCGTGAAGCGGGCATCGACGTGCGGGTGGGAGAATTAGGAGGCTACATTCAGGAGGCGATGGAAAGCTACGAGTGTGAAATCAACGGCAAGACTCACCCGATCAAAGCGATTCGCAACTTGTGCGGCCACACAATCCTTCCGTACTCTATTCATGGTACCAAGAGTGTCCCATTTATCAAGTCGAACGACATGACAAAGATGGAAGAAGGGGACGTCTTTGCGATCGAAACCTTTGGCAGTACCGGTAGTGGCCGATATGTCGAAGGAGGCGAGGTCTCCCATTACGCCCTGCGCGGCGACGCGAACAGAAAAGACTTGACTCTGTCTTCTGCCAGGTCCGTCTTGACAGCGATCAAGAAGAACTTTAGCACGATCCCTTTCTGCCGGCGCTACTTGGACAGGATTGGACAAGAGAAGTATCTCCTCGGTGTATGAACTTCCATTACGGATAGGTGATTCGAGCTCTTGACTAACAGGAAGATAGCTGAATTACCTAGTAAAATCCGGAATCGTGGAAGACTATCCCCCTCTGAATGAGAAGCAAGGAACTTATACGGCCCAGTTTGAACACGTAAGTCATGTGGAGTTTTTCTTAAGGAGAATAACTACTAATAGTGGATATAGACTATCCTGCTTCGACCAACCGTCAAAGAGGTCATCAGTCGTGGGGACGACTACTAGACGTATTCGAGTGTGATGTTTTTCATTTCGTAGGGTCATTGAACGGTTGCGGAAATGGATATCATGGTTCATAGATCGACACTCAGGGCATGAAGAATACACAAAAGTTCCTTGATGTCTTCCTCCGTTCCAGTCATCATATAACTTAACCCCGTAACCTGTAGTACCCCCAAATAGTGGAAGTGAACAATTTCGGCTATCTGAATCCTTGCGCATTTCCCGATATCTCGGGTGGATCGACCTTCGGTTTAGGGAAATTCTATTTTCGGTGTTACATACTGCTTACGTCCCGTCTAGCATGGAACAGAGCGATATGCGCCGGATCGGACTGCTATTGTACTTGTACGTCTGCTTATACTACTGGATGGGTCTTATATGCACGCAGCAGCCACTATCTTCCTTGCTGACGGTGGTGTGATCCAATATCTGGCTAGATTGGCAAGCATTGACATCTGTTTCAACCCTGTTTGTTCTTACACCAAACACCTCCTACCATGGCCGGCATTGCAGAACAGTTAATCGAAAAGCTGAACGCTGTTGAGGCGGGCATCTTCGAGGGCCAGGATGCCACCCGACAGAGGCTTGCTCTGGCCGCCCGCAAACTCTTCCACACGCTGGAAACAAAGGAAGAAAAGACCATGCGACTCGCTATAGAGGAACCAATTATGTTCTCCGTGCTCCAGGCCCTCATCGATATTGGTCTGTTTGAGGGCTGGGCTGCTGCCGGCGGTGGCGAGAAGGATGTGAGCGAGTTGGCTAGAATCTGCAAGAAAGATATGGAACCTGAGCTTCTATGTAAGTCTTCACTATGCCGCAGAGTGCCATCGCACATGATACTAATCAATCCACAGGCCATCAACTACGACTGATGGCTGCCAACCACATTATCCAGGAAACGGCAAACGACCGCTATGTCCCTACGCCCTATTCACTGGCCATCGGAGATAAGAGCACTCAGGTCGCCCCCGCTCTTCGCATCAGGTAAGCTGCAGCATTCGTGCACGGGGTAGTTATCGGACCCAGACGGACTAACGAGCAATGAACGGCTAGAACTGATCACGTCGCACCATGTGCCATGCACTGGCCCGATTTCCTGGCCAAGACCAACTACCGTAAGCCGCGGGACGACAAGGCTAGTTGTTACATTGATACCTTCCCTGAAAAGAAGAGCTTTTTCGAGCGTTGTAGCGCGAACCCCGTGCACCAGGAAAGTTTCTCATCCTTTATGGATGTGTGGGCCAAAGGAAAGAGACCTTGGCCGGAGTTCTACGATACCCAGGCATTGCTCGATGGCGCCGACCTAAGCAATGGTAGCCCTTTCGTTGTGGACGTTGGCGGACACCACGGCATCGATCTGATGCGCGTGGCGGCGAAGCACCCCGATCTTCCCGCTGGGTCACTTGTGCTCGAGGACCTACCAGAGGTTGTCGGCTCTGTCAGCCTTACTACGGACAAGATCGGGACTGTGGCGCATGATCTCTTTGAGGAGGGCGTTGAGCAGCCCATTAAAGGTAGGAAACTTGGTCTGCTGCGAGTTCAGTGCCCGAGGAGACTAACAGGAATATGCAGGAGCTCGAGCGTATTTCATGCATGCCGTCCTGCATGACTGGTCGGACGAGACCTCTGTCAAGATCCTTAAACAGATTGCCGCTGTCATGAAGCGCGGCTATTCGAAAGTGCTTATTAATGACATTGTGATCCCATCCACGGGTGCCAGTTGCTATCAAGCGGCCATGGACTGCCTTGTGTTGCAGGCTTCAGCTAATGAAAGAACCGAGACCGTGTGGAGCAAAGTAATCCAGGATGCTGGTCTCAAGCTAGTCAAGTATTACCCTGATGGTCGTGGGTATGAGAGCGTGATTGAGGCCGAATTGCCATAGCAGAGCTTTATTACTTACAATTGAGAGGATATCCAGCCCTTTCACGTCCCTGCCACGTGTACACTCTCAATCAGTATAGACACTATAGATTTGCCAATAGATTGCCTCCAGTGTTAAGACCATGACGGTGCCCTAAATTGTCATGGGATTCACGGTATACTTGCGCAAGGTGTATTGTTCGATATGTTGAATTGGATCTATCGAATATTTATAGTCTAAAAGTCGAGGTATTTCTTCATAAAGTCAAGCTGCCTTTGCAGAACTTCTCCTGCTCCCTCTCCGTTAATGACATCCATATGACCTCTACCAGCCACTAGATCGAACTCCTTTTTCGGCTCCGGGATCATGTCGAATACAGCCTTTTGATCTGCAGGGCTTGATATGGTGTCCTCGGCGGGAGTGACCATCATGACTGGCGTCCCTTTGATGAGGCGCATCGCCCCGTACGGCTGCCACGCCATCACATGGTAGTAGCTCTGCACTGTCGTCTGGTTGGTAAAGAACGAGGTATTCAGGAATGCTCGGAATTGCTCCATATTGTACTGGTTACCCCAACCAGCTGGGTTGTAGCCATCATCACCCACAAAGGGAATGTATACCGGGTCATTGCCTGCGATAGTGGAGACACGATCCTGCATTGCCAATGCCATGACCTTGTTCATTTCCTTCTCTCTGAAATCATAGTTGGCAATCGGTGTCACCGAGATCACCGCTCCAACACGGTGGTCGAGACCGGCCGCAACAAGCGCTGTCATGGCACTGAATGAATAGCCGTAGAGAGCGATCTTGTCCTCATCGACCATGGGATGACGGGCCATGAAGGTCAGAGCATCGTGAAAGTCCTCCACCAGCTTGGCGGGCTTGACATCATTGCGCGGTTCGCCATCACTGGCACCAATGCAACGATTATCATACAAGAGTACCGTTACTCCCTGTTGCTGGAACCAGACGGCAACATCTGGTAATAAGATCTCTTTTGGCGTGTTGAACTAGACAGATTCAGTCTACAAGTAAAGAGGCAGTCCAATCATACGTACTCCTTGATTCATGACAATAGCTGGCCCGCGGATTGTCCCTGGGTAAAGCCAGCCACGTAACGTCAACCCATCAAAGGTAGGAAACTCGACATCTTCGCGGTCCATTGTAGACAGTTGTGCCACAGCAGTATCCAACAAAGTGTTTAGAATGTACACAGAAATATGAAACAATGACAAACCAGTCAGTCACTTCATATCAACATCATACTGTAATCCGAACATAGCGGTAGTTTCGGTATTGGAATCGGTAACCGACCTGCCAGACACCATTGATGTAGGTAAGATTTCGGTGCCGAGTGATAGACCTATACGCCGATTCAACGGCACGGGGAACACATGACTTATCGGTAATAGGAAGTCCATACCCAGAATCCGTGTATAGTGTGGCTCATTAGGTCATACGAAGCCAAACCTACATTATGCATCGTCTAATGAGGCTATCGTCTACATCAGGTCGGCTTGGTGAGGTTCTACCGTTCTACTGCACTTTCCAGCCCCACATTCAGGGCAACATAGTGTCAGACCTAGGTAATGGTATCAAGATAGTCGAAAAGACCGGTAACCTATTCTCTGTTCGTTTTGTTCTCATCTTAACCATTCTTGAACCATTATCTCTTTTCCTCTCCGTTACTACAACACGAGATGACCATCACGAATGGCAATAAGCGCATCCTGGATGCTCCTGAACCCATCGCAATTGTTTCTGCAGCGTGTCGATTACCCGGGCATGTGGACAGCCCGCACAAGTTATGGGAGCTCCTTCAGTCGGGCGGCACTGCTGTTTCCAACCAGGTGCCCAAATCTCGCTTTAGCTCAGAGGGACATTTTGACGGGTCGGGCAGGCCTGGCACCATGAAAGCCCTGAGCGGCATGTTCATCGAGGATATAGATCCTGCCGCCTTCGATGCTTCCTTTTTCAACCTTACCCGGGCTGATGCTATTGCCATGGACCCCCAGCAACGTCAGCTCCTGGAAGTAGTATACGAGTGCTTCGAGAATGGTGGTGTACCAATCGAGAAAGTGAGTGGCAAACAGATAGGCTGCTATGTTGGCAGTCTGAACGGCGGTAAGAACCCTGTCGCTCTCTGTATAGAAACATAAATCGGGATTCTAATTGACTTAGATTACCACGACATGCAGATGCGAGACCCTGAGCAAAGAATGTCGGGCCACACGGTTGGCACGGGTGGTCGTGCCATGCTGAGTAACAGAATTAGCCACTTTTTCAACCTACGAGGATCCAGGTGAGTCTCCAAGACACTACGGGACGAGTCGATTGACCCTAACTGATATCGACTTCATTTTCATAGTTTCACAATTGATACAGCGTGTTCCAGTGGCCTTGTGGGAGTCGATGTAGCCTGCAAGAATCTACGCGCGGGCACACTGACCGGCGCAGTCGTGGCAGGCGTCAATTTGTGGCTATCGCCAGAACACACTGAAGAAACGGGTACCATGCGGGCAGCGTACTCGGCTACTGGCAAGTGTCACACCTTCGATGCTAAGGCTGATGGTTACTGCCGAGCTGAGGCGGTTAATGCTGTGTACCTGAAGCGTCTATCGGATGCTTTGAGGGACGGCGATCCTATCCGTGCATTGATTCGGGGGACAGCGAGTAATAGCGACGGGTGGACTCCGGGGATCAATAGCCCTAGCTCCGAAGCTCAAGCGGCGATGATTCGCGAAGCTTATAAAAATGCTGGTATCGACAGTAGCGAATACGCCGAGACGGGATAACTCGAGTGCCATGGCACTGGTACACCGGCGGGAGATCCTATTGAAGTCAAAGGCGCGGCGTCAGTGCTTGCTCACATGCGCCCACAAGCGAATCCCTTGATTATCGGATCGGTGAAAAGCAACATTGGGCACTCGGAGCCAGGGGCAGGTCTCTCGGGACTCATCAAGGCAATGTTGGCTGTCGAGGAGGGCAAAATTCCCGGAAATCCAACGTTCTTCAACCCAAATCCTGCCATCGATTTTGATAACCTCCGGGTACGTGCCACACGAGTAGGAGTTCCGTGGCCCAAAGAATCAAACCACTATAGACGTGCAAGCGTCAATTCTTTTGGCTTTGGAGGCTCCAATGCACATGCCATATTAGACAACGCGGATCACTACATTGCAAAATACCTGACACCACTCAAGATACCCAGACCTTACATTGGCTCTTATATCAACATGTCCGACATGTTGTCCTTGCTTGACGGACCGCGGTCATCTAAAACAGTCACACAGCGTCCCCAAGTCCTGGTTTTCTCGGCCAATGATGTTGATTCGTTAAAACGCCAAATAGCGACGGTTTCAGCCCATCTTCTCAATCCTCGAGTCAAAGTCAAGCTTTCAGATCTCAGCTATACACTCTCGGAGCGGCGATCCCGCCACTTTTTCCGTGCATTCTTGCTATGCTACCCAACAAAGAGTGGACATGCCAGTAAGATCGCAGTGGACGAGGCCCAGTTTTCCAAGACACCACAAGAGACAACAAGAATTGGCTTTGTGTTCACGGGCCAAGGTGCGCAGTGGTCGCAAATGGGGCTGGAGCTGGTCAGAACGTTCCCAGAGATAGCTAAGCCCGTCCTCGAGCAGTTGGACAGCGTGCTACAGGAATTGCCAGTAGGCGTCAAGCCAGAGGGGTCGCTGGTGGAAGAGCTAACGGAAGCCCGGTCCTCTCAGCACCTTAGCGAGCCAGAATTCTCCCAACCTCTTGTGACAGCGCTACAGCTGGCGCAACTAGCCGTACTGGAGTCCTGGAATGTGCGACCAGAAACAGTTATAGGTCACTCTTCTGGTGAAATAGCAGCTGCGTGTAGCGCAGGACTCATTACACCCAGGCAAGCCATTCTGAACGCGTATTTCCGTGGACTAGCAGGTAAAAGTGCTTTGGCAACTAGTCCGAAGGGCATGATGGCTGTTGGGCTGAGCGCAAAGGACGTCCAGCCGTACGTCGAGGCCCTCGAGACCGCCAGAAGAGATGTGGTAATCGCTTGCTACAACAGCCCTGCTAGTGTCACCCTCTCTGGATCTGCCTCCACATTAGCGGAGCTGGAAGCGACCATCAAGGCAGCTGGTCACTTTGCGCAAATGTTGCGAGTTGAAGTGGCGTACCACTCGCATCATATGACCCAGATAGCAAACCGCTACGAGGAGCTACTAAACGAGCACGGAGGGCTTGAAGATGGCGGCAAAGGAAGTACGAGCTCGAATCATATGATCTCAACTGTGACTGAGGGTGAGGTTACTGGAGCTCAAGTCTGTACCGCTGCATATTGGAAAGCGAACATGCTGTCACCTGTCCGATTTGATGGAGCTTGCAATAAGATGTTAACAACCAAGAAACCCGCTCCCAATTTCCTCATAGAACTAGGACCAAGCAACACGCTGGCAGGGCCAGTCGCCCAGATTGCCAAAGCAGCAAAGATCGACCACCTCATCTATACTGCAGCGAACAAGCGTGGCCAACAAGAAAGCTCCCGCGCGATTTTCGACGTTGCAGGCAACCTGTTCCTGCAGAATGCCGACTTCTCACTTGACAAGGTGAACATCCGCGACACTACACCGGATAAGGTGAAGCCCGCGGTGGTCGTCGACCTGCCCAACTATCAGTGGAAACATTCTACCCACTACTGGCACGAGAGTTTGGCTAGCAAAGACTGGAGATTCAAGAAATTTCCGGCCCATGACTTGCTCGGTAGCAAGGTTCTCGGCACCCTGTGGCAAAACCCTTCCTGGCACCGAATGCTGCGGCTGTCCGATGTGCCCTGGCTGCGGGATCACCGGATTGGATCAGAAATACTCTTTCCCGCTGCTGGCTATATTACTATGGCCATGGAGGCTGTTCGCCAAACCGCTTTGTCGACTGCGACAGGTCAAGATCTGGATGTCCTGAAGACGAGGAGTTACCGTTACTGCCTTCGGGATGTACAATTTCCTCGAGGATTAGTGCTTGAGGATGACGTTGAGGTCCATATCATGCTTTTGCTAGTACCCATGGCCAAGCTAGGGGATGGATGGTGGGAATACAAAATCACATCCCTAGCAGAATCGGATTCAATAGCATCATCATCATCGTCAACCCTGTCACCCGAGAAATGGAACATTAATTCCACCGGATTGGTTCGACTGGAGATGAATCCGGATGCATCATTTTCTCGAGCACCAGAGGGCATCTTCAGCTTGCCTCTGGATAACCCGACGCCTGGGCAGATGTGGTACAAGTCTCTAAAAGAAGTCGGATACTCCTATGGTTCCGACTTCCAGAAACTGGTAGCCGTCGAGGGCATGGAGGGAAAGTCAACTTCGCGCTCTCTTATCTCGTTGGAACCACCACGATCCAAGTGGGAGCCTCAGTCCGAGTACCCACTGCACCCGGCTCCTCTAGACAGTGTCTTGCAGAGCATGTTCCCCTCGCTTCATCGTGGAAATCGAAGTAAACTAGACCAGCTACTCGTCCCCAGAGGCATCGGGAGCTGACTGTCTCTGGTTACACCTGGAAGACAGGGGAGGGAGTATCTGTGACCACCTGGAACAATGTGTCGGGAGACGCGTCTTTGTATGATCCTGCCAATGGGTCGCTAATCATGCAGCTCAACCGCGTGTCATTCTCCCCCTTGTTGGATGGTCGAGAAAGCGTTTATATGTCACATATATATAGTCAGTTGACGTGGAAGCCAGATTTCCAACTTCTGGATACAGATGAGAAGCTCCAACAAGCACTGTCCGGCGTTGATGACAATGCTGAGTGCCATATACAGGAGATCCTCGATTTGGCAGCTCACAAGGCCCCAAATTTGAGGGTTCTCGAGTTCAACCTCGTGCCGGGAAGTATGGAATCTCCGTGGCTTGCCGGAGATCCAACACCGCGTCCGGTTCGCACTGCCCTTACCGAATTCCACTTTGCTGCCAACAGCGCGGATACTGCGCTCGCCGCTCAAGAGAAATATGCAGAGTGGCCAGCAGCGCGAATTGCCCGCTTCAGTGTGCTTGATCCATTCAGTAAATCTTTTACTGTACCAACAGGGAGTTCCAAGTTTGATCTCGTGGTGATCAGGTGGTCTCGACATGGAAGCTCCAGCGAGCTCGAGACTCTCGCGGGCAACTTGCGCCGCCTTACTTCCGAGGGCGGCAGTGTGGTATTCTATGATCCCGAACAGTCCAGTCCATCAGAGGGTAAAAGTTTGATGAACGGGAATAATCCTTTTCACGCTGCACTGCAACGCTCTGGTCTCACTAAGGTTCGCCAGACGATGGGTGGGAGTTGCATCGTTGCAGAGGTCAACCCCGAACAGACACCTTCTCTCAACAATGATTCTAGGGTGGTTATTGTGCGTTTCTCATCTGAGTCATCCCCTTTTGTCAATCACACCATTTCTCAGCTGCGAGAATCTGGCTGGAGCTTGACTGAGATCTGCATCAATGATGAATCAGGCCATGGGCTTTTGGAACTGCCGCCTAAATCAACTGTGCTGGTTCTTGATGAGTTGGCCCGGCCCTTGCTTGCCACAGAAACAGAGGATGAATGGGCCGCTCTCCAAGCGATAATACAGACAGAGTGTAACTTGGTTTGGGTGACGCACGGCTCGCAAATCAAGCCTACTGCCCCGCTCAACGCCGTTGCTCATAGCATTTTTCGTACGGTCCGCGCCGAGGTACCCATGATTCGCATTGTGACTCTGGACGTCGCGTCAGCTACACGAGAGAGTTTGAGCACAAACGCGTTTTCCATCAATATGGCGCTAAAAGAGGTAACCTCAGTGGTGAGATCCCATCCAATTGAGTGCGAGATTGCTGAAAGAGGCGGTCTGTTGCATGTCAGCAGGGTATGGCCGGATGCTGGGGTGAATAAACGCAAGGTGGAAGACAGCAGAGGAGGCCCATCACCTGTGATAACTAATTTCCATGGCTCAAAGTCTGCCATTCGCTTAGTTACAAGCAGACCTGGTAGTTTGGAAGCGCTACATTTCGCGGAGCAAGGTCTAGATGGGTCTGAAAGTCAAGTGATGGGACCGGATGAGATTGAGATCGAGATGTTCGCCTCCGGGTGCAACTCCAGAGATGTAGACGTGGCTATGGGCCATATCTCTGAGCCCTCGGATGCACTCGGCTTAGAGGGTGCTGGTGTGGTCGTCCGCGTAGGCGACTCCGTCAGCAGTCGCTATGTCGGTCAGCGGGTGGCAGTGTTTGGCAGAGGCTGCTTTGCCAATCGAGTCACCGTCTCATGCAAGACTACCTTTCCCTTGCCTGATGCTATGTCATTTGAGGAGGCTGCAACGCTACCAGTCGCATTTCTCACCGGTTTATATGCACTTGGTCGTCTCGCACATGTACAGGGAGATGATCGCGTCTTGGTCCATTCAGCTTTTACAGATGTGGGGATCGCGTGCGTCCGACTCTGTCAGCGTTCTGGTTATGATACTTTCGCGACGGTGGGTAACCTGGAGCAGCGCAATTTTCTGACTCAGGAGCTTGGACTGCCGGAAGATCATATCTTCACGTCGGAGCCAGCAGCATTTCCTCGCGCGCTACATGACGCAACCAAGGGTCATGGACTGGATGTTATTATCAGTCAGCCTACAAACGGCAATATGGACTATGAGAACGCGCGGTTACTTGCTCCTGGTGGACGACTGATCCGGTTAACAAACGGAGGCGCCGATATTGGCAATTTGCTGTCCACGGGATCACTCGCTCCCAACTGTTCTTTCCAGAGCTTGGATATAACAGCTTTACCAAAGGAAACTATCGAATCGTAAGTGAACTGTCGGTCCAAAATGGCTTACCTTTCACTCAGTGTTGGTACTCATATTTGCAGTGTGTTCTCGGAGCTGTCTCAGCTCATCGCAGATGGCAATGTGCCGCCCCTATTACCACGCACCATTTTTGGTTATGAAGAGATACCCAAGGCACTTGGACTTCTTCGAGAAGGTACTCACGTCGGAAAGATCGTTATTTCAGACGACCGTGGCACGAAGCTTGCTGTTCCGGTAAGAGTTCGAACATGACTTGAACTGAGTCAGTTTCCAACGTTTCTAGACCCGACCTGCAACAACTTTGGCACAGATTATTCTTAATCCTGATCACTGTTATTTCTTTGTGGGGGGTTTGAAAGGTATCTGTGGCAGTCTTGCCATCCATCTGGCCTACCACGGGGCCAGGCACATTGCCGTCATGTCCCGCAGTGGGTATGGAGACAGGGTATCTCAGGGCATCGCTCGAAACATCAGAACACTGGGGTGTTCTCTTGACTTGCTTCAAGGCGACGTCACTTGTATCAGCGACGTCAGGCGGGCTTTTAGCCAAGTCTCGGTTCCCGTTGGTGGAATCATCCAAGGAGCTGCCGTATTCAGAGTAAGACACCAGTCCCAGAGTCATTCTTCGTTATCCAATCCGTACTGACCCAACTCTCAGGATCGGACGTTTGAATCCATGTCCCACGCAGACTACCACGCTGCTTTATCGAGCAAAGTGACAGGCACATCCAACCTACATACAGTCTCTCTCGAAACGAAACAACCCATCTCATTCTTCACCATGCTGTCATTCCATCTCTGGCGTGATAGGCCAGAAGGGACAGGCCAACTACGCTGGTGGTAATGCATTCGAGGACGCCTTTGCAGAGTATCGCCGCGCATCGGGACTTCCCGCTATTAGCATCGACCTCGGACCTATAGAAGACGTCGGTGTCATTCACGGTAACGAAGATCTACAGAACAGGTTTGACAGAAGCACTCTGCTTAGCCTCCATGCGGGTTTGCTGCGCCGAATCTTCGACTACTCTATCCTTCAACAGCATCCTGATCCACGTCACCGTCTGAATCTCGCCAGTCAAGGCCAAATGATTACCAGTCTACTTGTTCCTCAGCCTGAAGACAGCGATCTGCTCAGAGATATCCGCTTCAGGGGCTTGCGAGTCCTCGGAGCGGATGGTCCACGTTCACGAGGGGACCCTAGCAAAGATAGAGAGGTACAGAGCCTCTTGTTTCTGGCCCAATCCCAGGGTCCCGAGCATGCAGCCGTGCGGGCCGTAGCTATCACGGTTGTCGGTGCGCGGTTGGCAAAGCAGCTTCGCATAACTGATGCGCTAGACTCGGCACGTCCCTTGTCGTACTACGGTTTAGACTCACTGGCGGCTGTAGAGCTACGTAGCTGGGTGCGTATGACATTGGGGATAGAGCTCACCACATTGGATGTAATGAATGCGGCCAGCTTGGGAGAACTGTGTGATAAGGTTATCGGGAAAATGGGAGTTGTCATGTAGTTTGATGGTGCCTGGTGGTTATAGAGACGAGGACTGCCAGTTATACAAAGCAAGCTATGACGGAGAACTGATCCTCATTGAAATTGAAGGGATAAACGAATGCGGTTTGTAATTTAAATTCTAAAACCTCAGAAAGCTAATTCAGGCTCTATCACCCCTATAGCTGGTTCACTCTTAAATAAAACACTCAGAGATAAATGGGAGTCCACCCGCGACGACAGAGCGAGACTTCTCTTTGCCGACTGAGGTATATTCGCCTCATGGCCGCTCCTCCTTCCACCATCCCCTCGCTCTTCACACAGTACTATACATGTATCCAAGAATCGGTTCATCACTGTCCAATCCCAAAATCGTATCCAACCTCCGACTTAGTCCACAACGCGGATGTACCTGTAGGGCTTGGCGGTGAAGCTGCCATCCTTCCAACCAACAGGGCGCTTATATGCGACGCAGCCGTAGGTGCCGCGGCATTCAAGGGTGTTGTACTCCTTCTTGGAACTGTCGACCCACGAATGAAACAGAGTGACGTGGCCGGCCGCACCGCCAGTGCCGGGACCTAGGGTGCCAACAAGGTCACCAGGCTTGAGGTCGTTCCATGAGATAGGCTTGGCGATCTCTGGGAGACTGACAGTGTTGAAGCCTGGCGAGTCCGCATGGAGAGCCATGCTGACGAAGCCCGAGCAGTCTGTGCGGTATTTGCGGCCTTCAGGGTCCGGGTATTCCTTGTTCATAGAGTATGGGACGTGGCGAGAGACCCAGTACTGACCGCGGGAGATGATCTCCTTGCGGGTGATCTTGCCGTTGTAGGACGAGCTGCCGCCACCAGAGCTGCCACCATCACACTCCTTGGTGACCATGCTGCTTGAGCCCGTCTTGACGTAGAAGTCGGTAACGTAGCAGCCGTCAGTTGTCTTGTCCCAGATGGAGTTGCCCTGAACGTTTTCACCGTACGTCTGGCATGAGAGCTTGACATCGGCCCCCTTTTCGTATGTCTTGACAACCTTATCATTCGTTGATGGACCGGTACGGCAGTTGACTCCGTCGCCAGTGATGGCGTACGCGTTGACCATGGAGACAGCCGCAGCCAGGGTCACAGCCACGAGTTTGAGCTGCATAATGGCGAATAGCGACAATCAGGTGAATTCTGCGTATGGAAGGGCTTTCGAGAAGTGTCGCCGTGTTTCTGAGGATTGGGTTTCCTTTCGACGGTGCGTTTGTGGATGAGACTCTGAAATGACACAGGTAACGGGAGGAAGTCTGGATGGCTTTATACTTGTAGTCCACCGCTGCGCATCAGGCCGGATCAGGATACTGAACTGTTTGTCTAGTGCTTTGATCCTCGCCAGATGCTGATCTCGTTTAGATTGAGCACCATCAACACGATCATTGCCGAGGCAATTTTGCCCGAATTGATATTGAAACCTTATTTACGGGAGTTGAGCAAGACTTTCACACCAACCCATGCGTTGTAAACGACCAATATGACCGAAATACGATTGATTCATCTGGGCTGGTTGTCTCAGGACTCGAATTATCATCTGCGAGAGCTCGTAAATAAGCTTCCTGGTCGTATTGTCTTATTATATCCCACTAATACGAGGAAGATCTCGTTTCCTTCAGGAACTTGATGTTCTGCATCCACCTGCCTCAGCCACTGACGTTCAATTGCTTGATTGATCGTCAGACAACATTAAGATATTCCTTTCCAGACTGTCACACAACTTTCTTTTGTCATTTCCTCGGTATAATCAGAAACTGGACCCTTCGACAGTCCGAAATCAAATTTGGCCAGTTTAACCTCCAGAAGGATACAGGAACACCACACAATTTCATCAATCCCACGTCGGGGCCAACATGATCATCAATATCAAACACCAGGCCGGATACGGATACGATGTGGAGCCGAAGTTCCCCATACGCTGCCAAAAATAGCCTGATTTTACGAGTTGCACGGGCGATCGACAGGGTTTACCACAGAATAAGGCCAATCAAGTCTGAAGAGAACATGATGTTGCTTGGCAGGGGAGCATGCATGGTCAACAACTCACTTCCGCATGAAAAGCTCGCTACCGGGCATCAGTACCTGCATAATCCAATGTGTTCTGCATAGAAATAGCAGGCTACCACTGGTAGCTGGACAGGGGAAATGCCGTGAGGCAGTATGGCAGCTACTATAGCTATAAATAGCTGTATCTATCAACAGTTTGGACTATCATCACACTTGTACCTTAGTTCCGAGTTCAAAATATACTTGCGAGGGGTTAGGATAAATGATATTATCCATCCATCCATCCTGTTCTTCCTGCTCAGAGCTGTTGTCAGCATAGCCATCAACAAGGTAGACTGCGTGCCTGGGACTTTCTCAGTAATAGCTTTCTGGATGATGGACCGCGCCTCTTCCTCTTTTTTGCTAGCAACATATTGCTAGAGCATCGCATAAAGGATTTCCACGTTTTCCTCATCCAGCTTAGAGGCTTCTTTCAGATATTCCAAGGCACGTTCTGGGTCGGTCGCCCATTCACCGAGAGCTTTGAACACATCTCGCAGCTGCTCCTTGTTGACGGGGTCTTGAGCTCGGAGAATTGTAGCAGCCTGTTGTTCCTTAGAACCCAGCCTATTCTGCGCAGAGTGAGAGACTTTCATACCTTCTTGTACTGCTCGCTCGCAGCGCCATACTCAGGCAGGATAGCATATGTGTCGCCTAATCGGATGTACCATGTGTAGTCCGCTTCGGTGACTTTCAAGGACTGCTTGCACCACTGCTCAGCTTTGGCGACCATTTCCAAGTCGGAGTCGTTGTCGTTTATGATAATTCGCCCGTCGCCTTCCTCCGAGTTCTCAACCTCCTCAGTCACACCGGCCTGATCATCCTGCTCTGGTTTAGCGTCCTGCATATAGAGATTGACGAGGATTAGGCACAGGAGCGATCAACGGGACCCAATAACTACTTACCAAAGTCAGGAATCCGCTGATCCATCTGAATGCGGCATAGGCGCTCCATTCGGACTGTTGTAGCCAATTTCGGGCAATCATGGTCATGATCGGAGTCAACAGACTTGAGTTCTGCCGTGGGAGGTGAAAGAACTGAGTCTCGAGCCAATCACAGCTGCAGTCTCGAATATTAAATGTCATTTGCTGCGCTCACCTTGGAAACCGTGGGCGGGTTCTCGACATGGCCAGTCCGGGAAACCACGGCCGCTTCATCTGGAGTGACCACCACCGCGCTGGGCACCAGGGATGCTACCAAATATGCGGTAGGTACTTGGCGACAACGAGTTAGTTTCATTCTGCACCTGTCCCACCCCATATAAACCAGAGAGACACATTGACTTTCGATCTGTTAGGGTTTGGGCCTCACAGGGGCTGATTTCATAGCCGGCACAGGCGTCAAAATCGTGGGCAAGAAGAAGAAATGGGAACGACCGGTCATCAAACGATGGAAGGGAACAGTCATTGCCGTCATGTCGGTTCCAATCCTCTGTCTTTCCCTCACCGGAGATATTATGATGCCAGCCAAGCCAGCAAGAACGAGGTTTTAATTCTGGACGGATTCACAGAAACAGTAGCCTCGTTTGGCGCAACTTGGGGCCAATCGGTGGCAAGGTGGAACGACGAACTCGAGGATGACCTCATGTATATAGGGTTTGCCGTCTGCCAGTTTTGTACCCTGGTCAAGTATGGCTTGAAGATGGTTGATTGTGTGGTTGAAGAACTGGACTGATGGCTGCGTGACTTCTGTCGAGTCCATTTAGCCCAGGCTATTTCAATTTCCATTCTTTTTCTGGAAAGCAATGATTATTCTCCGTGGTCACTGCTGAGGACAGAATGTTATAGTGATGATCTTGATTGTTTAGCGGTCTCTTCAGGATTCAGGCACTAAACTTGTTATGCCTTTTGTCTATAGTCAGCAATGCAGCGGCAGGTACTTGTAATATTACTGGACACTGGGAAAATTTATTGCATAAGAGACCTAGGAGGCTGTGATCAGGCTGCTAGATATGGCATTGGCGGGCATTATCAATCTATTTTATGTTTGATTAGTGGTTTGGAAGGTATCGGAGGCATAGGGAATGCTATCAGTTAGTATGAGTCAGTCACTACTCCTCCTTAGCGAATAGGGCTAACAGATACATAAAATAATAATAATAATGTATTCTTTAAGATTACTATGAAAAGGGGTCAAAAACACCTTCTCTTATTTGACGACTATGGTTCTCATCTAACCTTTGAATTCCTGGAGTTTTGCAATGAAAATGGTATCTTTCCGTCTATTTTATCACTCATTCAACCCACTTTAGCGAACCTCTTGATGGTAACCCATTCCTTATATACAAGCACTATTTTGGCTCGCGGAATAGTGATCTTGCTTTATGGGGCAGGGTAATGAATAATAAGGTTGATTTTCTCCTAGAGATCACATCAATCCAATGAAAAACCTTTACTCAGCATACATTTCGCGATGCATTCAGATCGCGAGGCATCTAGACTACTGACTTAATCCATCAAAGATTTCATGTCAATTTTCGAAAGACCAGGACCTCCAGATCTTCGATACGCTCTTGCCAGAATGCGAAAATTTGCAGTGGCTTGCGCGATGAAAGATGATTTACCAAACAAATATCAGAAATTTCTAAGTTTCGGGCATCGGTTGGACCTACTTGTTGTTGTAGCTTGTAGGAGGCAAGGCCTCAATACCGTTCTAAATCCAGTTCCCAATGTAACTCTCTGTCTTTGCATCCTGATCTGGTGAATGTCGGTGTGTATTTTGATAAGTTCTACTATACATAATGCAGCCAGACGGCTACCTAGAGAGAGATGTAAGGTGAAACGTGCTATATGTGGAAGGGATACACATGCACAGGACATACATGCAAGGGATGATGATCCTGAACCTTAGGTAAATATATCACACGGCTCACCGCCATACGACCAGAGGTACTAACACGCCAAAGGTGTGACTATAACTACAATAGTTTTGTCCCAGTACCCTTAATTTGCGCTTTATAGTAAGTAGATAAATTAACCAAACATTCATTTCTTAGATAGCCTCCCCCAGTATGCTGATCATTGATATGATACATTGCTGGCTTAATGCTCTCCAGCTAGGGGTCCTGGCCGGAGTAGGGTTGGTGCGTCTTGTCAGATAAGTGTCGCTGTCTCAAGCCATATGATGCTGACTCTTCTTCAGCTGCTGTGCTATATTATTTATCAAACTTATTTTCACCCACTTGCAAAATATCCCGGACCACTACTGGCAAAGTTTACCACCATTCGGGGGGCTTATTATGCTGTGAAAGGGGATGTGCACCTGGACATATGGCGCTGCCACAAGATATATGGTAGGAATCTTACACTTCCTCTTTCTATATCATCTACCTCTTATTAACACTTCTTCAGGACCGGTCGTAAGGTATGGACCGAATTTTCTGGTTTTTAGCACCGTCCCTGCGGTGGAAGGTAGGCTTTAAGGCTTTGCATATTTATTTATCCCTCCGCGCTGATGTGAACGAGACATATTTTTCCACTCCAAGAACATCGGGAAATCCCCATTTTACTCTCGATTAAGCTACCGAGCTTTGGATCTCATAACCCTGACCGACAGAAAGCAGCACGCAACTAGAAGAAAGCTATTAGGACGGTCAATAACAGATTCTAGGATTGCTAGAATTGAACCAAGACTTCTGTTGCATATTAAAAAGTTCTGCGATATTCTAAATTCAGATACAGAGCAAAAACTAGCGGGCTGGAGCCAGCCTGTGAATATGTCCGATCACTGCGCATATTTAGCCTTCGACTTGATGACGGACTTAGTTTACGGAGTCAACTATGATCTTCTCAGAAGCCCCACACATCGGTCTGTGATAAGGGACATTGAGCACTCAAGACTGCGAACTACATTCATTGCTTGGTTTCCTTGGGTTGTCATAGGGCGTCTCGATAAAAAGTTATTTTTCCGGCAGGCCATTCAAGCAACTAAGAGGCATCTGAAATTTGTCACTGACGCCATGAACCGTGCGCACTGTTCTCCTGAACCAAGAGAGGAGCAATCTACAGTCATCTCAGATTTGATTAAGGCTGAATCTGTAAAGCAAATCAGCAAGGAGGATATCTGGGCCGAGGGTGTGATGCTATCTGTAGTAGGTGGGTACTTCTTTCTCTCAAGTCTTGTTTTACGAACTCACACACATTCTTCACATACATTCAGCCCATGACACAACTTCGACAGCAATGTGCGCGACACTGTTTTACCTGAGCCGAAACGCCGATGCGTACACCATCTTGGCGAACGAGATTCGTGGGACGTATGACCACGCTGACGCTATCAGGATGGGCCCCCGCCTGCGGAGTTGMAGGTACCTCCGTGCATGTATTGACGAGGCTCTCCGCATGTCTCCTCCAGTTGGAGGCATACTGCTGCGGGAGGTGGAATCAGGAGGTGCCGAAGTAGATGGGAACGTCCTCGATGAAGGCTGTATTGTTAGCCCTGGAATCTACAGCATACATCACAATCCGGCCTACTTTCCGAGACCACATGAATACAATCCCGAGCGCTGGTTGCCAGGCAGCGAGCTAAACACGAAGGACGAGAGGGGGGCTAGCCGGGCAGCATTCATTCCCTTTTCTACCGGACCACGTGCGTGCGTTGGGGTGTCCCTTTTCTATTGGGAGATCTCAGTCACTCTTGCTCGACTTATGTTCTTGTTTGACTTCAAGGCGGCTGAGGGACCCGATGGTGAGCTAGGTGCTGGAAGCGCATTTTCTGGATTTGGCAGGACGGATCCCAATGAGTTTCAACTGTACGACAGAATAGGTTCTTTGAAATGGGGGCCTGTGCTTCAGTTCCGTCCAAGACAGATGGCTGTTTGACAATTTACCTCTAGGCAGCAAACGAGATGAAGCAGCTCTTAAGACTACTTCCTTAACATGTATCAATCACAGGGCATTTCATGATATAATTGAGTTGTTGAATGATGAGCCTGCAGCAAGACACGTCCAGATCTAAGACAGTTAGCACAAAGCGTGATCAAAACCAGGAAAACGATCAGAAGAGAATCATCAGAAGACAGTAATTTTTGTTCTTCTCTGTCGTGCTCTTATGGAAATACAATGCTCTGTAGTAAGGAAGGACATCAACGAGTTAATCAAAAAGTATAATGATATAAGGGTGAAAAAGACCCAGTGTCTGACTAGGGAGTCCTAAAGATGACCAGTATTGTTGAACTCGGATCTTGATACTGTCACACATAACTAGAAAAGAACGCAGCCAGACTGAAACCTTTTGGACCTGAGATACTCATAATCAGGCATCGCTGCACTCACACAGTTCTCAATCAACTGTCCAAGGCTCTCCCCAAATTCTCCCTTCCACTTCCTAATCTCATCCTCAATGTCCAAACTCGCTGATGTTTTATCCTTCTGAACCCCACTGGAAGCGTTCAGCGTTTGCATGAATGCCTTCTTCAGATAGAAGGCGTCTTTATCTGTCCTCGGAGTCCAAGAGTATTGGACACTCGACTCATCTAGCCCCAGGAGCTTAGCAAGTCGGCAGACAATTTCTGGATCGTTAATGATATCATCGGCGTCCAGTAGCACAGGTGCAATGGAGTTGCCAGTGTCCCCTTTGCCGCCACAATACATAATGTACCAATCATACAAAGAGCGTGTATAGTAGAAGGACATCTGTAGTTGTAGGTCCTTGAGTAAATACTCATGATCGCAGCGTATGGGGTTCGATTCTTGAATTCTCATGACTCCCCGACAATACGAAGGAAAAGCTAGGGCTGGATGTCTGATCAGAAATATCGGCCGCCATGTCCGTAGGTACTCTGTAGGGAGAACAGTAGGGTTCCCCATTGGTTCGTCGTTGGAAGGTGCATGCGTAGGCGGCAGCGTGATATTGAAGGATCCATCAGAGGATGTGTGATCGGTCCCAATCCTAGTACATGGCCTCCATAGAAAATTGCAGTGTTCTTTCGCGATAACAATTTTTCCATTCGCTTCCCCATTGGCAAGGTATTGGTCAAGGCCGTGGAAACACTGTTGGAAGCTCGTTTGGACATGGACTCTTTCATCCTTGGTCCACTCTGTGACAGGCTTTGTGCTGAGTCCAAGCGCCGTCATCAATTTTCTGGTCCTGAAGAATGTGCAAACTTCGTCCTCATCCCAGTGTACATTTGGTTGTTTTTCTAACCCCAGCATTCGGACTAAGAGGTATGATGTCGTGCGAGGCTGAGCGAGGAGGAATATCCGGCGACTGGGACCCGCTGTTAGATCTGGGACGGTCATTTTCCGGGAATTGTGATCCGTTCTAGTCATTGATTAGGGCATAATTCAGTTTGATGGAGAATATGACCTACCTCTTCTGGTGTGGTACCAAGGCTGTGTTGGTATGGATAACTTGAGCAACCCTGTCAGCAACCTGGGGACCTATATACAGCAACACAGCTTGACTAGCACTTAAGTTTGCGGTATCATATTATCCTGATAATGGAGACCACACCGATCTTTTCGGGCTGTGACGAGCCAACTGTCCAGAATCAGAATTTATGTGGGGACTTGCATGCATACAAAGCCTATACATGCAGATTTTCTGTTTAGTCAATGCGATCGGTGCATACAAGTCATATTTCTATTAATCAAAGTGGAATGTGGTATCTTCTGGTTTCACCGACTCGCGCTGATTCCCAGGACCTGAGATGGCATACTCTTTGATCACTGGAGAGCCAACAGCACAGTAATTTGTCACATATTTATCAAACCAAAAGCTATTCTACAAAGGGCCATCTTATTCTGTTCGTTTTGAATCAAAACAGGCACTGAGCAACAGCCTCCATACTAATGACTATGGCTTATGTCTTCACATTGTTTAACCTAAAGATCTATGACTCGGGTGGTTAAATGATCCTTCTTGCTAATGGGTGTAGGAAGAGGATGATGATTTGAAACAACCAGGCGATTAGAGAAACTCCCATTGAATCAATAAATCCCCTTAGTGAAGTAGGGACCGCAATGGGGGATGGGGAAGAGACTGTGAAGTAAGGGGTTTTGGGAGAGGAGAGGTTTCGTTTCAGTTAGAGGGAAAGTTAGACACAGGTTTCCAAGCCTTAAAGTTGAGTACTGGAAATACTTCGGTTAAAGGTTAAGTGCGGTTGAGTGGGACAGTAATGTGAGGCTTAGGATGGTGGATGGTGAATCATCATCCATTTTGACACTTACATTGCTTGAAAATAGGATACAGATAGATTTCATGTAATTATGCAGAAGAGTACTCCGTATACAGAGATAATACTATGGCAGGGTTGCAAACTATCAAAGCTGCAAATGGCAGACAGATGACGAATTGGAAAATATTTAAATTCAAAGCAATAGTCTAAGGCATAGCAGTAGCATAATGAGAAAGTGTAATATGATAATCTCTAGATTAAATTACATATCTGATTAGCAAATCATTCAGCACCTATCCATGTTCATGATGGCGATATTCTATTGTTAGGCTGACAGGCTTGCGATCACCATACATTCATGGGGCTTATCATACGGAGTACAAAATTTAGTATAGTCCGCCAGTCTGTATCAGGTTTTACTACTACTCCTCTTTATGTGACCCTTTTGCATGTCCAACACATTCTTTAGTCATTTCTCTCGTCAATTCAACATATTGAACACAACTTATCCAAGTAAAGTCCTTCCTCAGCGCTTTTATAGGTCTAAATTATAGGACTAAATTTACTTTGAATTGCACATTCACCATCTACACATTAGAAGTCATCCCAGCTTATACAACCCTGCTATGATCATGTTGATATTTTATCCAAGATTTCCAAGTGGCAAGTGCAAATGTAGTTCACACATGCTAGAATACAGATCATCTCCGTCAATTGTGATGCATCGCTGGGGGAGAAGGCAACTACAGCTAACATTAGCAGGATGATCCAATCTGCTCCCTTACATTAGTTACTTCGTACAAAAGTTACAATGCAAACCACCTAGATCGGTATATCCTGCAGTTCGACATGCGGTATTAAATCTTTCAATCAGTAAGATAAACTATCCTCCACGCAAGGCATTGACTCTAATAGGGATGTCTTATAGATGGTCAAGCAATCCCAGAAATATTTAATAATTCTTATTAACTTGGTCTTGTGGAGTCAATGATTGGGCGTTGCTGCATACAAGTATTAGGCCAGATACACTGCATCAAAAATGACCTGTCAGGTGCCGATCTGTCTGTCTGACGCTTGTCTGTCAATCCTGCTAAATTGATGCTTGGTAGCACATACCACATACCAACAGGCGGCAAGAATGCAAAAAGCTTTTAAACAGCATTTATGATTCTCTTGTTTGCCATGCTGTTGAATTAGATTACCGCTTACCGAATGGAGAAATTCGGCCATTCCTTCATTGAACCTTCCTGTATAGGTGATTCGGCCAAGACGGTCACGAAATCACCAGAAATCTATGGAATCGTGATTACAAATTGATTTCGCCGATGCAGAATCATTTCGAATCTGAATACCTTCATTTCTCAAGGTACAAATATGGCCTAGTTAGTCGCTCGTTGAAAAGAATCAGACCTTCATTCAATTTCGATCTTGCATATAAATTCTTAGTCATCTCGAAACCTTACAAGCGTAGTCGAATTCAAAACATGCTGCCCCTATAAATGCATCGGAATTGCAACAGATTGCCTAAGGATTTTCAGCGAACTGGATCGTCCACGGCCTGCTTCAGTCTGCATTTTCATATTATATATGTGGCTCCATCGGCTATAGAAACTCGAATTAATATCTGTTTAGAAACAAATCATATAGCTTGCTTTTGCAAGCCAGCCCAGTCCCATGCCCGCGCTGGCCGATCTTCTTCTGGGCTGGTAAAATCCCATACCTCCACAGCTGCGGGCAAGGCGAAGTCTTCAGAGACAGGGAAATACCTCTCCACTGCCTGCTTCCGTATAGGCTTCCCCGTCCTGGTCTCAGGAACAGTCTCGCCGTCTTGCAAAATGCGCAACGCGGTTGGAAGCTTGTACTTGGATAGCTTGTCCGCCAGGTCGGATCTGATGGTTCGTAGGTCTACCTTGTGTTTTTCCTCTGTCCACTCTAGGGCACCATGCGAAGTCTGCTGGACTCGCAAGCGGACCAGTGCAGCAACTCGTGCTCCATCCTGCAAGTCTGGCACGGACAGAATATAGGCTTCGGAGATATAAGGGAGCTCTAGAAGATGCGCTTCGACTTCCAGCACAGGGACCTTATAGCCGCCGCGGTGTCGTACAACTGCTCAGTCTTGTTACCATGGGTCCAAAGATAGGGATGGGAAGAGCTTACAGTCCGCGGATGCCCGACCATCTAGTACATACTGATCTCCAACTCGATGCGCGAGATCTCCAGTTCTGTAGAATCCTTCATCGTCGAAAGCCGCCCGAGTAGCGGCTTCATCGTTGAGATAACTGAGAGTGGTATAGCATCAGAAACAATTCCATCGAAATTTCCAGCAAAGGTTCCACCTACTGGGAGAACATGGACGGTCCCTTGATCAGGAGCTCCCCGTGGTCTCCCTCGGATAGCTTGACTGTGACGCCGGGAACTGGCCTCCCGATGCACCGCTGCCGGAAGGGGGTGAGAACGTCAACAGTATCAGGCCTCCGATATGGTTGGAGACTGGGCTTACATCGATATATGCATCTGTATGGGCAGTACCTTGGAGAGCACGCGAAGCCATCTCAGTCGATCCATAGCAAACGGTCAATGGTTTCCCAATGACTTCTCGCCAGAATCGCAGCATAGATGGCGCACTGACTTGCCCACTGACACGCGCAAGTCGAAGTCCGCGCGCGCCTCGAACGTATTCATCGCGCTCTTCAGGGGATAGGACATTTAATCCCTCCTGGAAATGTTTCATGAGCTTCGTATACATGGGAGGGCCGCAAGTAAGAAGTGTGACGCCTCCTTTTCGTAGCCTTTCCCAGATCACTTGAACATCAGGCTCCGTGATTTCGACGCGCGAACCTTCCATCAATCCTTTGATCAGGGGCAGCGTTCCGGAGACCCAGTGGACTGGGCGGTGGCTCAATAGGACATCATCAGGGGTCAAGCCCGGGCTTGTGTAGAAAATCGTCCGGTCGTGAACGACGCCCTTTGGAGGGCCTGTGGTGCCGGAGGTGAACAGGACCAGGCTGGGTCGAGTGGGCGCAATGGTCATCTCCTTGTCAATCTCGACCTGGGGAACGGAAACTGCACTACACTTGATCGTGATGGGTACGATGGCGACCTTTCCGCCGTCCTGCTGGGAATCAACGTATTGCTGGATTTCTATGGCACGTTTCAGGGATTGGGGCGCAGCGAGGATGGAGGATGAGTTGCACCTTTGCAGCAGATTATGGGCTTCCTCAGGCAACACAGACGTTGCTTGGAAGCACTGGTGGTTAGCATTCTGCACTTCCACTCGTTTTCTCTCCTCCTCGACGGTGTAACGAAGTCTCTGAAACATACACAATGGCACTATAGCCCCTCCCAACCCAAGAATGGCGAAAGAGGCAACGATGAATTCATAGTTTCCTGGAGCGAGAATAAAAATGAACGGTGTTTCCTCCACAATTAGTCGTTTGCCATCAAACATCGATCGAGGGAGTGCTTCATAGATGGCCTGCCGCATTTTCAGCACATCGGTGAATAATTGAGTGTAGTTTGCATCTACGCCGTTCTGAGGGTCGTGGATGACGACATGCTGAACCTCGTTACAAGCCTTGACCAAGCGCTCAAAAAATGGTTCGTTGGGTAGTTTTCCGACTTTGGGTGGAATCATGTTGCAGCCAGGAAGGTGTTTTTGGTTGTATCAGACTGAGGACACGAAGTTCTTAATCTTGCGATGTGGGGTTATTGTCTAATTCCACAGTCATCCAGCCTTCTGAGGGCCCATAATTATGATGGTGAAAGGTCTTGGGATGAAGTTGCATTTCAGTGTGATATGTCTTCCAGAACAAGCATATGTATGCGGTTCCCCTCTACCCCTCTAGGTATGTGAGAGGATGATCTCCATGTACTCTCCAAGGACATCATTGTGGGAAGGATGTTACCAACACTTGGAAGAGCGGTGTACGGAACCCAGCCAGAATTTTGAGCCCATCTCACAGCAGTTCTCAGCAACTTGAATGAAAACTAACATTGAGAACAAGCCCAATCTAGACTTGTTACTGTATGTTTGTTATGACCTTAACTGGCATCATGATCGTGATTGGTAGATTTACTTAAACCTTACTGGGAACTGTACACGAACTGAGAAAGAAACCATTATATTTCTTCTAACTACCGCGAAACAGTGGAGTGGGAAATCCATTCAGTCCAGTTTCCATTCTGGGCGGATAACACTAACTAGATCCCTTGCATTCCTGATCGATCATTTGACAGGGTATGCATCCAAGTTCGAACCTTCCTGTCAGTAATTTGGAGAGAGCCAGGCCAGACCACTGCGTGCAAGCAACAGTATTTAACTGGTGAGCCTGGATACCGCAAGACCGCCAAATGTTTCCTTCCTTGTTCATAGGAGTTACTAGTCGGGAGTTCACAGTTTATTAGCTTGGTGTGCATTGGCTATTAGCGGCGCTCAATGACTTAGGGTGAGGACTGCATCAGTGCAGGGTTAATATAATTGTTGGCCAGAATCACAGTTGCTGAAAGGCAAGGCGGTCAATCATGCTGTAAAAAATATGAGTACTAGATTAAGAATGATGCTTATATGACTGTGGAGACAACGCCTCCTGAGTTGGCATTTGACGCTTGTTGGTGGTGTACTGTTTGAGGGAAATTGATTAGTCTTATGTTGAAATGGATGATCATTGCTCAAAAGAGATAAACACTGCATGAACTATGGAGCTTGAGAGGACCTCCTGAATTCTATATTGAATTAGGAGTGACAAGGGGTCAGTGCTGTATATTCCAGAAACCTTTGTCCAAGTGCATCTACTTCTTACCCTTTACGCTGATAAAGCTATGGAAGTAATCACCGTTTATATCAACAAAGAGAAAGTGTGAGGATATAGGTTATGGGACATCTGATTACTAATAAGTCACCCTCGGTTTATTCATCGCTTATTGTCATAGAGTGGTAAACTAAAATAAAATAAAAAAAGCCCTAACGTTAGGCATTTATACATAAACTTCCTCTCTAAGCCTTTTCTGAAACAGACAAACTCACTATGAGCGGAGAGTATGGATTTTAGCCACGATGTATATTTGTATGGAAATGCTATACAACTTCTCTCGATACTTAGCGTCCCGCGGGACAGACTTATATAAAGATCTATATATACAGGATTGTCGTTTTGTGACTCTTTATATGATAATATATATCTCTATAAAGAAGCAACATATCATAAGGTGAAAGTATTTAGATATCCTCTATTAGATATATGAGTTTTGCGGGGGAAACTTGTGTTATTGCAAAACTTTTGAGCACTCTGCTATATTCCTGGGTGAAAGATAACTACAACGACAACTGGAAGCTAGTCAAAGTCGAATGATAGACCCGTATCAGCCATGCGGTCCCGGTACATTGAATCAAAGAGCTCCGTCTGCTTGGCAGTGAATTGCTCCCTCCAAGTCCCAACTTTGCCCTTGCGGAAAAAACAAGAGTGGCAATCCCGGTTGACCAAACTGCTGAATTTATTGGTCTTCATGTTGGAAAAGCTCACGGTATCCCTGATCTCGTTGATCATCGCGTCGTCGACCTCGATGAGGAGGAAGTCGGCAATCCTCCTCAGTTCCGAATCAAAGTTCTTCTGCAGATCTTCGTATTTTACGAACATCACATTCTCTTGGTGTCGTTTCTCCCACCAGCTCAACACATGGTCGAACCAATCGCCTCGTTGTACCTTCCCATTGAGAAACATCTCAAACCATCTGTCCCAGCCGCCATCAAAAAACCCTGACCAGGGCTGATTTCGTTCAAAGTGGTAATAAGAAGTGCATACATCCTTTGGGTTCCGAGCGATGTAGATATATCGGCAGGGGCTTCGCGCCGGATTCCCAAGGGTCATATCATATGGCATGTGCGATTTGAACATGCGAGGGTCATCTAACTGGGCCAAATCCTCCGCAGTCCCCTGGAAGGTCCGGTCACTCTCAGGCCAGAAGTAGGAAGTTTCAAGGGAGTCCTTTTTCTTTCCTGTCAGCAACACCAGGATATAAGCCAGCCAGGTCGTCCCGGATTTCGGGTACGAGACAAAACAAATGTCCGTTGGGCGTGTAGGAAGGTTTCGAGAGAAGGCGAACGACTCGTCTGTTATATCGGGTGGCATGACCCAGCCGTCGAGAAGACGGTAACTGTAGCCAGACAGTTCGCCATTTCCCGGACGATCAAGCTGTTGGGCGGGTGCCATCTTCGAAAAGGAAATAGGATGTTAAAAGGTCCAACAACTTTGATGGCTGTTGAGTAGGACCGAGGAGCTTGAGGTGGGTAGACGTTCGTGTGTGCTTTGTATGGATAATGGTAGAATTGCGGTCACACAGTCAATGCAGGTTGAACCAGAGCGGTGAGACTTGAATACTGAATTACATTTCAGTTACGGAGTACCGACATCGATATCCCTCTGTGGGTTCGGCAGGCTTAGCCAATACCTATAGGACTTCACAAACCTAGCTGGGTGTACTATCTAGCTTTTGTTTTGCTTCCGCTCTGACATGCTCCTGGACACATCGCTAGTTCGCTACTAAGCTAAGCAGATTGGGTTCCATATTTGCCCTGTGGACTGTGAGCTTTAAGTCTCCCCATGTTCTTGCACGGTAAGCTGGGGTTTACATTATAAACCTATGGGCTCTTCAATCATCAGCATTTGCCTACTGCTCACTAACAGGGTCGGCTTATCACGCCTGAGAAAAATACACATAGTGTACAAGCTGCCTAGCACTCGCTCTGCTCGCTGCAGCTTCGGCTGTGCTGAATTACTCTGCTCACTTGTAGCGCAGGGTTTGGACCTGCGGCCCTCACCTGGTAGGTATCTTATGGTCTTACCTCTTATAAAATATTAATCTTTTAAGGTGTAATTTACATCTACTATTTCAAGATAGTTATAAATTAGGAATATATAGTAATTAGCCCTATAATAGAGGCACTATCTAGGTAGGGGGTGCTGCTGGTAAGGTAGTAGCCTAAGGTAGGAGATACAGCCTTAGAAAGCTAAACTTAAAGAGGGAATTTCAGTAGTAATTTTAAATTCTTATATAGTAAGGATATTAAATGGAATAGTATAAATATCAAATTCTTATATAGTAGGGATATTGAATCGAATCAAATGAGATCGAATTCTCATATAGTAGGGATGTCGAATTAAATAGTATCAATATTGAAATAGTAGGGATATCGAATCGAATCAAATGAGATTGAATTCTCATATAGTAGGGATATCGAATCAAATAGTATCAATATCGAATTCTTATATAGTAGAGATATCGAATTCTCATATAGCAAGGATATCGAATTAAATAGTATCAATATTGAATTATTCTTGCAAGGTAGTACCGTAGTGGCCTAAGGTAGGAGATACAGCCTTAGAAAGGTGGCAGAGAGAGAGGCCTGAAGAAAGCTAAACCCAAAGAGGTAATTTGGCGAACAAGCTGATTATTCAGCCGATTATTAAGTGATTATTCAGCATTCTCCACCGTTATTTCTTTATGATAATATTCCGGTCATCATTAGTCAGCTTACTAATTAGTTTATTAAGCTCTGCTTTAATCACTTAACTATTTTAGAATTCACCTGTCTGACCTGCTAATTTCAATAATACTCCTGTAATGTGAATTGCATCACATGCATATGATCTATAAATTTTATAAAGACCAATAACACCAGCCTAGCTACACTATCCTTGATTCGCTTAGAGACTGCCTGCTATGTGAGACTGATATTTGTGTGAGGTATGCTATCAGCTTCCTTCAAGCACTCTCATTCTACATGTGTGAGAAATGGACTGCACTGTCTTGAACATATTCCTTTTTCCAGTAACGAAGCCCCTACTTGAGCATTGAAAGGCGCCTAGTCCCACTGGCCACGAAGCCACAAAGTCTACCAGAATACGGCAGGCTGTAAATGTTCAAATAGGTTTACCTCCCGCTAAGTTATTCATCCAATATTGGCTGACTGACCGTCATTACGGAATTGAAAGCATCTGATACTACTCCGTACATAGTGGCTGCTTGGCCCAAAAGGAGAGGTGGGAAATAGCGGTGTAGATGAAGTGTTCCAGCTGCATCTGCAAGCCATGGTACAATTTCAATGCATTAGCCCCTCACTGGAGTTGCTGCTGGAGGTACATTTGGAGCAATTTAGGCCAGGTAGAGGGGAGACCTTACCTGAGCTCCCTCTAGACTTGGGGAAGAAGCTTTAGAGACGAGTAGCGCTAAGTACCCTTCTACTGTAGGATGTATTTAAAGGATAGATAGATGACTGGGCACTTGCACGATTTTCCTGCCATTTATTTATATCATATATTTGATGGATTTCTGAAACACCAGCCCTGGACGCTTAATATAGTTCATTCAACTGTACGGGCCTTTATTTGGCCAGAACATAATGCATCAAGTAGATGTGCTGATCGTTGGGGGGGGCCCATCAGGGTAAGCCTTTTGATTTTCTCAATACAATTATAGTATGATATGATGCATGGCGAATTGACATAGATATTGACGTGATTTCAGCCTAACACTGGCCACATGGATGGCACTGACAGGTGTCAGGGCGCTGTTGATCGAGAAAAGAACGTCGGGAACACATATCGGCCGTGCGGATGGTCTCGAAAGTCGCACTCTGGAGATCCTGGACAGCTTTGGGATAGGCCAGCAGATATGGAGTGAGGCCAACCGCACCGTCGAAATTTGTCTTTGGGTATGCCGATACGGCTTGCCTGCATCTCGGCTTTGTCTCTTCAACTCTCTCTCTCTGTGTCCAGCTAACCATCAGATTCTGATACAATCTGCAGGACGACAGCAAAGACGGCCTCCTTCGACGACAAAAGACCTCCGCGAATACAGAACCAGGGCATTCTAGGTTTCAAGAATGCACTCTGAGCCAGGGCAGAGTTGAGGAGCATTTACAGAAATTAATCGAGAAGCATAAGAATGTCGAGATTCGACGAGGAACAGTTCCCACTTCTCTCGAAATTGACTATGCTCTCCTTGATGATGCTACTGCATACCCCATTCGAATGCGCCTGGGGGACGCTCTTGTAGGATCATGCAGTGTTCACAAGCCCACAACCCTGGAGGAAAATGTCACATGTTCAGAGTGCCATTATGAGGAGGTAGCAGCCAGATACGTTGTCGGGTGTGATGGAGCCCACAGCTGGGTGAGGGCACAACTTGGACTTCGCCCCGAAGGCAACTCTCTCAATGAGCAGTGGGGGGTTCTTGATATTGTACCCATAACCAACTTCCGTTCGTCCTTTTCCTGTACCTTTGAAACATGTCAGACCGGCTGGCTCACATGGGGTTCTAGCTGACATCCGCAAACGAAACGTGGTCAAAACCAGGTGGGGGAACCTTATGATCATTCCGCGTGAGAGAAGCATGGTGCGGGTGTATGTCCAAGTGTCCCCCACCACTGCCGCAGAGTACAAAGACCGTGAGGATTATGAATTACTCATAGACACTATTCAGACCATCATGCGGCCCTATTCCTTTGGTTATTCACATGTCGAATGGTCTGCTGTATACAATGTAAGTAACAACCACCATTTGCACCGCGACGGACCCAGATGTTGTATTATGATCTGATTCAACTTCAGGTTGGCCAATGGATCTGTCCTCAGTTTTCCCGCGCCAACCGCGTCTTCCTCACTGGCGACGCCGTGCATGCGCATTCCCCTAAGGCAGGCCAGGGTATGAATGTTAGCATCCAAGATGCCTACAATCTCGGATGGAAGCTTGCATCCGTGGTGCTTAGCGCCCTACCCCCGAGGATGCTACACACATACGGAGAGGAGAGGCTCATGGTGGCAGAAAGACTGATCACTTTCGATAAACGCATCTGCCGATGTATGTGTGGAGTGCAGCCAGGGACCAACTCATACGGCTCGTTTGACAATGACCATAAAAACGCTCTTAAGGAGGAAAATTCCTCGGCATCAGGGATAGCAGTCACTTATGCACCTAACGCATTGATTAGCTCAACGGAGCCACAGTGCTGTCTTGACAGGGTTGGATCGGCGCTGCCATATTTCAGCAAGCCGCGTCTGGCAAGGAATATCAAGATCGGTGCTAGGATGCCCAGCGAAATCGTGGTCAGCCAGAGTGATGCTCAGCCGTGGCAAGTTCAAGGTCTCCTGAAGAGCACAGGGGAATGGAACCTGATTGTCTTTGGCGGCGATATCTTACAGGAGGCTCAAAGAAGACGAATCAATGCACTGGCGACTGCACTCTCATGTGACGGCTCATACATGCGCAGATTAAATGAAAGACGCCATGAGGGATATGTTGTTGGCACTATCGCCATCTACCTGATTCATTCCGCGAGTAGACTGGATGTTGAGTTATTAGATTTGCCAGAAATCTTCAGGCCATTCAATGATAGGCATGAGGTGGACTATGGACGTGTTTATGCGGACGAGAAGTCGTATCACTCCGGCGGGGGCAATGCATATTCATCCTATGGTATCGCACCGGAAGGCTGTATGATTCTCCTGAGACCGGACCAGCACATATCCTTTATTGGAGATTTGGAAGATGTTGGCAGTCTCTCTAGATTCGTTGCTTCTTTTACATGACAGTTTAGCTGATCCAAGAGCTATCTGCTATCACACAATGAAGAGGTCCTGGATAATGTGCTCCAAATCTTGTATCTGGTATTGTTTGAGCTTACAGGAACTTTATAGTGTAGGCTTCCAGTGAAAAACACACAATTAAAAAATAATAAAAAAAAAAAAAGGAAAGAGAAATCATATGTTTTATTAAAGTGATAGGCTTGTCTGGTCTAGGTTGAGTCTATAGATGCCCGAAGCCTAGCATCTCGTTGATAAAGGTTCGTCTTTTGCTTTTGTTGTACTCTCACCTGTCGCCAGGATGGGAATTTTCATCAATGCCTTTCTCCGAAACAGAAATTCGACTGATATTGACCGTCAATACTGTACTCAGGAGGTGCCCATGAAAGTCATCATCCTTGGATTCCCGCGTACGGGCACGGTTTGTAAGCTCTCACAACCAATATACTTTAGTCTCATATTCTGGTTCAGCTGACCACTATACCGTTCATAGCTTTGACAAGTGCACTGAAAATTCTCGGTTCCACAATGCTTACCATAGCCGAGATGTATTGACCTTCAATCCTCGAGACTGTGAGCTATGGTGGAAAGCATTGCAGGCAGAATACGAAGGGAAAGGAAAGGAGTTTGGTCTCAAGGAATTCGATCAGCTACTAGGTCATTACTAAGTAAGTACGAGAAGGATGGGACCAAAAACACCACGTCGTGGAACAACACAAAAATATTATCGAAATTGCTGACATTAGCTAGGCCGTCTCTGACATTCCGGCAATTTGCTTTGCTGAAGAGCTTATTGCAGCGTACCCAAATGCTAAAGTCATTTTAACAGTGAGAGACGTGAATGAGTGGCAAGCATAAGTAGGGCTAAACTATTCTTCAGAGCACTATAAATAACAAAACAGTGAGAAAGTCAACCATGCAGCAGGTCAAGGATCCATTAGCATACGATGCTTCTCTTAGACCATCTTCTCTTTATGCCGTGGTGCTGGGTTAGACCAGTGGTCCTCAAGTGCCAACATGTGCTCTGGGGCGATGATTTTGAAAAAGGACAGAAAAAGGACCTCTGAGGACAACTACAAGAAAATTCAAGGCATGGTGCCACCAGTAAAACTGCTTCCTTTACCATGTCAAAGAAGGATGGGAACCTCTCTGCAAATTTCTCAACGTCCCAATCCCTGATATGACAATGATAAATATGAACGACTCCAAAATGTTCAATCAAGCATTTATGGCAAAAGAAGTGTATCATCTTACGCAGTATGTTAGGAGAATCATCTAAATTTCTGCCTATGCGTCGCTGTTCATGATTGTCTGGGTGGTTTACCAAGGTGGACCATTGCCTTGGCATTGAATGGTTCTATGAGGAAAAAGCGAAATCATTATTAGGTCTAAAGTAAATCTAGGTTTAGCTTGATGGCTTATAAATTCTAAGTTCATACTTGATTGCCAAAGCTCCAAATTTCTTTGAAGGTAGGTGTCGTAAGGCATCGACACTTCGTCAGAAATAAAACATTTCCATCCTAAGTTCTAACACTGGATATAGTGGCATTCTGGGATCGTTCTTGGGGCTTATGCTTTTGACTGTCCAGAGACAAAGGGGCAGAGTTTGGCTGGGATTGAAGGAGATAGGATGTATGGGGGTTCGCTGTCCTACTGATGCGGACGATAAAAAGGAAGGAGAATGTCACTAACAGTGCTGTTTAACCATTTCTCTTAATTCTCTTCTCTGCGTGGTTGCTAGTGCTAGCGCATATGTATTCCAGTCTCAATAATCCAACCCTGCCCTCCCAGAGCAATACATAGCTTCATAAACGTCGCCATACCGTAGGTGGCCACCAGCAAAGACCTAGAGCCCTAACAACGCTAGAAACATCAGGTATAAGTCAACTTTGACAATAGAGTGAGAGTTTAACGGCTTGTTAATCGCACTAGACTTTTGCTAAAGACAAGGGAGAGCTGTTCTGCCTGATGTATAAATGGACATGATGAGGGATTTCGGCTTTGCTGGCATTATCATTCCTGCTCCTTGTCAAAAAACATGACAGGGTGACTCAGAAATTGATCGGGTGGACATAACAATTGTGCAAGTCTCCAAATAATCTGCATATACCTTCTTTGATAGGATTTTTGGATCCGACTGGCCTCGAAAAAAGCTGAGCATAGTAGTCAACTAACCCCCATATGTTCTGGACAGAACGCCCATAAAATAGTTTGATTGTTCCATGTAAAGCCCTTAACAATCCCACCTTGTTACCCCCGCGTCATTCAGATCAGGTGTGATTTATCACTTCCACTTCGAAATCATACTTGTACCAACGATCGCCTTCCCATTTCATCAACTTCCCAAAATGGTTATATTCATGGTGACTGCGCTCCGGTTTAGTCTGCTCGCTTGTGAATTTCCCATTGAACCGATAGTCAGACCCATGATCATTGAGCAGTTTCGACCTATAGCCAACTTGGACTAGAGCAGCATCCGGATTTTCACACAACTTCCGATACATCTTATCCATGGCATTCTCATATCCGATTAGATCGACCTCTGCCCAATCGTGCGCATGGATCCCTTCCCAGTGGGCGTGAACATCCGTCGTGTAGTGCTCAATTCGCGGGGTGGCCATTATTTTTATGATTTGCGGAAATGGCTATTTCCAACGATGAGATTCAGAAGAGTAGGCAGTTGCCTGTGGAGAGATATAAATGCCGTTATGTGTAGGAGGAAAGTACCAAACATTTTTCAGCCTCGAGAAGGGGAGGAGGAGTTAGATATGAATTTCCAAATTATTGAATTATTGGGCAAATTGTTTGTCTGGATGCAACAATATCATGATGTCATGTCTGTTGTTAGAGTGTCAATCATATGATTCTCAAACCGGATCATGTGTCACTTCACATGAAGGATGGAATAATAGCAACCTAATTAAACATGTACTAACCCCTTTTGGTAATTTTGCTGTAACCATACAACACAAAGGCTATCAGAGTCTAGATTAACAGTTATTAGTAGTGATCTCTAGTGATACTAATAGGAAAGTTCGTATTTTGCCAATGACCTAACAATGCTGGAAGCGACCAAATGATAAGTGTATATGATGAGGACAGTATCACTATGCAGAGTATTACTTCAAAACAAACATTCGTCTCGCGTCTTTGGCCTCACCAGCAGAGAACGCTGATCAATTTCTTGCATAATAGTTAAGCAGCCTTCTCCTTGGATGAGTTGCTGAAGTTGAACCTGGGTGTCTTAACCTAGCAGAAGAAAGCTCAGGTGCTTTTCTCGCTGAATACCCCGTATAATCAGCCAGATCCAGAATGTTCTCCCACTTAACGTAATTCCCAGGTGAGCCGGCCACCCTAGCGAGCCGGCCATCCCTGCATTCCATATAAAATGGCACCCTTCAAGACTTTGATATCTCAACCATAGTCATATATGCTACTATCTAAGTAAGATATTCAGAACGCATATAGTCTGAAGTATATAAATACTCTTTCTTAGGATGCTAAAATATTGCTTCTCTGTCTTAATATCTGGAAGTTAAAATTACTAAAATTACAGGTGTATTTTATGTTAGCTACATGTATACATACGCAAGGAGGCTATAGATTATAAGTATATGACTATAATATACCTCATGCCTAGATTTAGCCCCTGTAGATGCGTGGTTGTTGAGATATCAAAGTCTGGAAGGGTGCCATTTTATATGGAATACAGAGATGGCCGGCTCGCTAGGGTGGCCGGCTCACCTGGGAATTACGTTAGTTATTTTTCCTATGCGGTAAGCAAGCACAAAGCATAGTCGAAGTCTGTGCACAATGCAAATTGTTCTAATCAACTGCAGACTCGAACCGAATATTGTATGAGTTATAGCGCCGACCAACCGAGACAGGAAATCCAGTCTATTTTGCCTAAATTCTGACTGGCATTCGTGAATTCTGATTTTCTCCCCAATGAGCTGGGATCCAATTTTGTACCACGGCTGGTCTTTTATGGTGTGTTGGCCACGCTCAGATCCTAATAGTGTTAAAAAGAAAATGCCTACTTTATGATGGAATTACACTTTCAGAGGGCGGACTGTTAGAGCGTATTCTACCCTGCACATCATTTGTGAGCTCAGCTGCGCCCATTCTACCCCAAGTCGTAGCTGGAGGGTACGTCTCGGCATATACTCCTATCTCTGAATCCCAAACCACTTCGCAAATCCAAGCAAAAACCATCAAGCCGCCATGAAGTGAACGGAATCTCCACTCAATTTGAAGTATGCCCTCTCTCTTACATGGTAGCTGAGACCCGGGTTTAGGCAAAACTTGGGAACGAAGATGGAGAGAGAAAGTTATTTACTCTGTACAGGAAGCTGGTTAAAAATCTCGCCCAAATTAGATGAGCAAATTATAGGAGGATATCACAAGTTCGCATTTGCATCTTTTCAGAGGCCTTCATCTATGGATACAGGGTCCACAGGAGAGACTGGGTCGAGGAGTAAGGAGACTAGTATGCTAGGAGTCAATAAGGGGACGATGTCTGAAATTAGATGCCTAGCCCTTCATGGAGAGCAGCGCGGTCCTTCCATGAACCGCCAGGTTTTGGCTTCAAAGTTTATTTAAGTCTTAGGAATCCTTATTCTCATTCTCCACATTGTTTACTGCCATGTCATATACTATTGCAGCTCGGTGACAGACAGCAGTGGAAAAATCCTGCTTAACTTGGGCTGTCTTAGTATAATTTCGGGAGAAAGCATAATACATTAAAAATCCGAAACACGGTAACCAGGACCTGATCAGGCAACAAAACCCACGAAATTGAAGCTGCAACAAGATGAATTTATCCACTGTTAGGGAATAGATAGGCTTTGGATGAATTGAAAGCAGTATAATAGGTGCACGCTGCATGCTTGCTTACTTTAAATTGCCAAGTTGGACAAAAGGTTCCATCACCCATCCTCATTCAACATTTGTTGGTTTCTTGATATAGTTGGTCGCCTGAACATGTTCTTCCGATAGGGTCTGGCTCGGAATTCTCCCTTGGCATGAATCTAGACTAATTAGGCTCGCAATGTGGCCGAATGGGAAATATTTAAGGGATGTGGCTGTTTCAAGCAAGCGGGGCTTGGGACCTAATCTAATCTGGTAAACCCTTTACTGCAGCAAACCCTAAATACGAGCAGCTTAGATGGAAGCCGGAGCTACTACCATGCACTTGTTGTTTTTGATGACTCGTGCGACCTCGCAAGCGAATTCTCAAGCTCTTGATATGTACTTTTTGGCTGGAAATGCCAAACCAGAATCGCAGATGTATACTCTGTACGGAGTACTGCCGACTGATATCAAGATCTTTGAGTGGCCACCTTGCCTCCTTTTTCTTCCTCTTCCTTTTTCAGACAGATTGAGCATTTTCGCAGTCATAACTCTGCTATATCCAGATTCAGGTTATAAATCTGAACTTTCCCTCTTTAACTGTCTCTTTCTCCTACTGTTCATTTCTCTACCGGTCTCTACAATCAGTCGTGCCAAACATGTAATGGAAAACCGCTATCGCATGCCTGACCGGTCTAAGTACTGTGGTCAATGCTGATATCAATGGTCAATCCAAGACTGGGAGATGCCCAGTCGGTTATGCCCTGACTACGTACTTTGTTACTGTTACAGAAAGCTCAACCCCGGCGGTCAGACCCTGGACGGCTGGACTATCTACCGCCATCAGTCGGTCGACAATTTCTACCTGGGATGGGTCGTCGACAATTTCTTCGTCCATGTCTAGTTTTGAGACAACAAAGACGGACTCTACTGGATCTGTGCCTGCGACCTCGACCACTTTGCCATCAACCCCCTCAGAGAAATCATTGAACTCGCCCACTGTTATTTCCGATGCCGTTGTCAACCCAACAGCCTCAGTGGTTGAATCGTCTCCAATATCGGCGTCATATTTGAAAAGTTCACAGACATCTGTGGTTGAAGTGTCTCAAAAATCGGCATCGTCTTCGCAAGGTTCACAGACGCCACTAGTCGGTGGCGTCGTCAGCGGACAGGCTACTTCCTATAATGGTGGCGACGTAGATGGAACATGCATGTTTTCGACCGCCGACTACACCCTGCCAGCTGGGATATATGGTGCGGCTCTTTCTGTGGACAACTGGGACAGTGCAGCTTGCTCTCCGTTATTGGGCCAAGAGGCAACTCCATCAAAATCATGGTGAGTGGAGAAGTGTCTCTGTTCAGTTGATGTCCATTATCAATTTGATTCTGCCTGTTAGCGTTGTTTGCCCCAGATTGTCAACCAATGTCCTGGAACTTGCGGTCTGAACAATGTTGATTTGCTCCCCAACGGCTTCCAACAATTGGCAGATCTCAAAGTCGGCCGAATTGACGTGAAGTGGGATATCGTGAAGTGTGATATCAACAGTCCGCTATTTCTGAAAACAAAGACTGGGTCCTCAAAATACTGGTTTAGTATTCAAGTCGTCAATTCGAACGTCCCAGTTAAATCGCTAGAGGTTAGTACCGACGGTGGACAAACGTGGCAGTCTACAATCCGTAAAGACTACAACTTCTTCGAAAATCCTAGCGGCTTTGGGACAGATTTTGTTGATGTCCGGATAACCAGCATTACTGGTGAGACAATTATGGTGAATAATGTCAGCAGCATCTCAGAGACCCGAACAGATGCTACCTTAAACTTTAATTAAATAGTAAAAGGTGTATAGTGCGCTCCCTGTTTTCTTCTTTTCTTTCTTCCTATTTTTAAATTTTTTTTTTTTTCTTGTTTCCCCCCTTTCTTTCTCGACTTCCCCACTTTCTCCTGATAGGACAGTATTTTTGGTAGCAGGGTACATCGACCGTAACTCCTTCCTCTGTCTGGGCTATTATCTACCCTATTGTATGGGATATGAGGAGTACACAAATATACCCTTGCTGTTAGCATGGAGGATGCTGTGTTTCCCGGGCCCATTTTCTATGAGTTTTCTTTATTTTCTTTTCTTTTACAAAGCTTTTTAATCTGTATTCTAGAGTAATCTGGGATGTGGGATAATAAACTTTGAACTTTTCATGGACCGGGACTCTATATCAGCTCTTTTGCGAGCAAATAGCTCCAGCCTACACTCCAAAGCGTGTCGGAGGAGGCCAAGGCAGATTTGCTTAACCAGGAAGAAACATGGATTGAACGAAGTCCAAGTTTGGTCGCTGTCTAACAAGCATGCCGATGCAAGACTGACATGGTGGTGCCAAATGGGCAAATTGAATTCCCGGCAGCGGGGAGGATAGCCAACCAAGAGAACAATATTTGAAGATAGAAAAATTCAAACTGGATACACCACAGACGCTCATAGTTCTGCTTTCTCAGCCTCCTGCTTCATCTGGTCCAAGTTTGGCAAGGTTGACAATATGGGATTCGGGGGGTTCTCACCGGATCCCAAACAATTCAGCCGACTACACCGATAGACGTATAATTCAGCCTCAAGGGACACTTAAGGATTCAGCCTTGTCAAGCTGATCTAAAGGCTAAAGTCAGGCGGCCCAAGTTACCTAGGACCACGGGGATCCCCATCGGGTCGCCTCTACAAACATGGAAAATTTCCTCTAAGCTATCAGAAGGCGGCATACACGTCGACATCACAAGCAGGTTTGGTATGGGCTAGGAGATTGGGCTATGATGATGATCCTCATGGCTCATACAAAGTTAGTCTAATGCCTACACGCCTTTCCCCCGCTTAATTAAACGAGAACCAGGGAAGTATGAAAGAGGTTGCAGGGAACATCCTGCTTGGTGGTGGCCATCTTCACAAATCCAGCGGTAATTAGCACCGTGGGAAGACATGTAACCCCATCACTTGCTCCAATGCACTCATTACAATCATTAATAAACAAATCTTAGGTTACCTAGCCATGTATAAAGAGTCAAGTTTCAATTTAGATTTATTAAAATTTCGTAATCTAGTGAATTAGCTTTACACGTAGAAATCTCAGCTGACAGTTGTAGGTATGCTCGAAGATTCTCTTGTGTCCAATGTGTTGTGTTTCAAGGTTAATATATATAGTCAGAATTTAATAACATGAAGAAATGAATAAGCGTTGAATGCAGCTGCTTGGAAAATCTCAACCCCAACATACCCCTTAAAATGTGGCCTTCCTAAATTGAGGTTGCATAAGAAAGAAAAAGAAATTCAAATGCACTAGTCTCCACAGTGCATTCCCAGTAGCACCTCTGTCCCTCTTGGAGACATCTTCCTTGGACCTGCATTAGTTGACTGTAATGACATACTCACCAGTTGTTAACTGAGCATTCGATCCAATGAATGGCTCGGTCCCAGCAGCGATGCCGCTCACATACTGGCTGGAGGGCAAGCCCTGGCCCTGAATCAAGTACTTGAAAAATTCGAGAATGTCGGCATTGAATGAAGTCTGCTCGCTGCGAGCGACGAAGCTGAAGACAGTCGAAGCCCCATTCGGGCCTTTGAAGAGGTCCCAAGAAGTGCCAGCAATTGTGACTGTAGCGATTGGTGAACCCGTGCTGCTTATTGGGCCAGCACCGCCAATAGCAGCAAGCCAGATCATTATCTCATATGCCGTAGAGCCCCCAGGAGAATAGCTGGTGAATATATCATAAGCAACATCGGCGACAATATTAGAACCAGTGTAACTGTAAACGCAGAGTGCCATCAGCCAGTGTTCCTGCATGACGCGGACTCAAAAGCAAACATAATAAAGACTTGAACAAAGCTGAAGTCACTTACCTCCATTTCCAGATAGTTGGGATACTCGAAATGGAACTAAGTTGCCTTGCACCAAAAGTGTAACCCGCATTGGCATAAGACTTCACACTGCTTGGAGCTCCTTGCCAGTTCCAGGACGTGTCCCATGATATCACATCTCCACCCTGATAGTCTAAGCCAGTGCACTGCCACCCAGATGTAGCGTTCTTCTCACCCCAGAGATTCTGGTAAATGGTATAGGCTCCGGCAGAGACTGAGTCCCACTGTCCACAGAGGTCCCGCTTAGTGCAGAACCACTGACTGCGGAACCCAAGACCCCAAGGGACACGACTGGAATAGACAGAGAGAATCTCATTATGCTTGCACAGTCTAAGATACAGTGAATGATATATTGAGAAAAGAATTTATAGATGTGATGCAGGAGTATGGTGGATGTGCTAGTGACCAATTCGCGCTGTGTCCAAAGCAAGTCATCAAGCAGGTTCTTGCCAGCTTTATATCTCTATGTCCATCCTACTGATAGCTTGAAAAATATGCCATAATATGGGAAACGACCTGTGGCTGAAATATTTTAGCAATAAGAACTCCAGGCTCGGACCCTCTCATAAACTAGAACACATAGTAGCCCCCTTCGCACCTAAATCACGAACTCCTCTTTCCACCACCATGCAGTTCTAAGATGAATGCATCAGTCCCCAGAACAGCGATTCTTTACCTAAACCAGGTAGCGCGTCAATTTATTTAACTTCTCCAAGAACAAAACCGTCTCTTATTACGGTAAGGCCCCATAACAACAAGCATGGGAACTTAACTCTCAGCTCATAAAGGCAAGCCTTTCGGCAGAAGTGCTAGTCTAACAACAAATTGCAACTACAAGCTAGATTCAAACTAATATACAAGTGCCACTTGGGTCATTCTTTGCGCTAAGGAAAAAGGGAACGACTCGGAGAAAATACTTTGTTTACTATCCGGGTTTTGAGACTAAGGGCCAGGGCGCCACCTAATCATCCGCATACTGGCAAGTTCATACTACTTTCCCCTGGTAATTCGGGTGTCTCTATCTCAGATTCCTTCATCCTTAACCCTCCACGAGAAAATCACTGGGAGTAATTTATCATGGCTTTGATTTGTTGGGCGCTTTATATAATTACCCAGTGTCACCGATCGGGAAGGGTCTATCAAATGTAGCCAGATCTAAGACGGTCATGATGAGAAGTAGACACATTAATTGCCGGCATACACCAGGCAATGGAGTCTAGAGGTTGCCGCACATTCCCCCTTTCGAAGATTGCATTATTTCACGGTGAGATTTGCCTGAATTACATTTGAAAAGTGTTTCATCCATTGTATAAAGCCCCGCACTTGAAACCTTATTTTCGACAGCCCGAACACGTGGAAAAGAGAAAAGGAGACAAGGCAGCGATCTTCCCCCGCATCGGAACAGTGGGGAAGGACAATCAGAAATGACTTGCACACTCACCGGAGCAAAATACCCTGCGGGATTTACCTGTTTTAGGTCTAACCACAGTATTACAGTACAGACCAATGACTAAGATGATGATTTCATGCAAACAGCTTGTACCTGCTTTACTTTGCTTACTAACTTCCTACCCTATGAACTCCTTGCTCTTCTTATGTTGTGCTTTAGTGCTCATCTGTGCTGGTAACCAAAGAGAATGTTTGACTACTCTAGTTGTTCTAAAGGAAGAATATTCACTTTCAATATTATAATAGAAAGACATTCTACTTGTTAAGTTCTAGTTTCCACTGCTCCCTAATTATTCTCTCTGGTCCTCTTAACCACTGGAGGCTGGTCATTTATTCCAGACTTCTCAATGAGCTTGCGAAATTGTTGGAGATGTCATCTTTGGTGACACTTTTGTCTCAGCAAGTCATCCTCATTCCTTCCTAAATGTTAATCAAAATGGCCCATGCTTCATTCGCAGCATTGCATATATGGATGATCGCAATATCCCCCAAAGAAACTTCTTATGCGCAAGAGAGCTGCTGAATACTGCTTGAATGGCTGCAGTTCGGAGAAGGCCAAAGGCGACTAATCTGCAATAACGAGTTTCTTGCATATAAAACCCAATATTAATACTAGATGATGATTTGATATCCCTAATAGATTGCCACTTAGTAACAGGCTACCAGCCTATAAAGTCTATAATCTACTAAGGCTATCGGCAGTGAAAGAGCAGAAGTAGTGCCTATTCATGCCTATTACCTTGATAATTATAAGGCACTTATTCTGTCCTGAGATGGTGTACACCTGTATAGCCATAAATAGGTTGTTATAGGAATTACTTAGGATGACCTTATACGTGCTGCTAAAGGATCCTGGGAAGTTACTAATGGGTATGCTAGCATGGTAGATCTTGCTATTGTTGCCTGCAAAGAAGAGGTACATATTCTTGATGAGGCATTGGAAGGCTAATAAGCTATTGCCCTCTTGTTCAACCGAAGTTGGAGACTATTGACAGTGTTTTGGCGGCAAAGTGGGGGTTGAACCCGAGGGGAATATAGGCGTTTTCGGGTGCGGCATCCATCTCGCCTGTGGATTATGTTGCGGACATGAAAGTGCAATTTAATCTCGCCGGTAGGAAAATGTTCGCCGGGATTTTTCATACAGGCTGCAAGCAAATATCTGAACGCGAGCAATCCAAGAAGCAAAAAATCAGTGATGAAACAATTGAGAGGCTTTCTAACAACTCTGCATCTAAGGTGCTAGATAAGCTTTGTTGCTTACAATGGAGCAGAATAACTCACATTTTGGTGGTGTTGATGTTTAAGCCTGGTGGCCAAAGGCGAAGGAGGCAGCGAGCCTACTCAAGAGAGAGGGAGGGCTCTTGGGTACAAAAGGACCGTAAGAATGAGAGGGGGAGTGTCCACACAGAGTGGAAAAGGAACATTCTCTCAAGCATAACACCCTAACCAGATTGTGCAGGGATGTATATACCCAAATTCTTTGGCGTCTGTTCCGGGAGGATGAAGAGAATGTGATAGTAAATGAGTGCACCATACATGTTTTGTTTTTTTGTTTTTTGTTTTGTTGTCCTTGCCATATAATTTTATTTATGGACTGAAATCCACCTTAATATATATACTTGAGTTTGGTGTGATAGTACTGGTTGCGTAGCTTGTCTTCTTGCCTTTGAAATAGATGTAAATATATTTTAGGCTGGTCCATCCTCAACGACAAAGGTATGTTCAACCATTATCTTAGGAGATCCAGTTATCTTTGGCTCATTATACTTCGCCGGCATATTTTCCGTGCGTGGAGGTTCCGCCCGAGGTCTCTTAACTACCTTCCGTACTGGCTCCCAAAATGTGTATAGAGGAAGAATAAGCGTTAGGCAAAAAAGGGCGGCGGGGACGCCAAGTGAATGTTGCACAGAAGTAATCTTCTCTACTCCGTACTGAACAGCAGGAAAGATAGCGCCACCGACCATGGATGAGATTTGGAAGGCAGAGCTTAATCGGATGCGGTGGCCCTGACCGCGCAGCGCCGTGACGAAGATGGTCGGGAAAATTGCGGACTGAAAGAAGTAGTTAAGGAAAACTGGTCCTAGAACCGACTTCTTGTTGAGAAAAGTGGAAATAAGGCAAGTAACAGATGCACCGACTGTCGTAACACAGAGAAGCTGTTCTGGCCTAACAGGGGTGATTAAGAAGATCACCCCTGCGATCACACGGCCTAGGATAACCAGGCCATCGAGTGCTGCAAGAAGTAAAAGCGCTTGATTGCTGCTAGCATGCTCTAGCCAATGGATCAGCACAGGATATGTAACTGTAGAGACGGTCTCCTGTGCTCCCAAGGAAACACACTGGGAAATGGCTGCAACAACCATAACAGAAGTAGTGACAGATATGGACCGGGCCGAGCGCCGTTGCCTAGGAAGAGGCTCCATTGGACCCCAGGACTTGTCGAGCTCATCCACGGTGACCTCGGGTAGCGGATAATAGTAAAAAAGGCAGGCCAGAGCGATGGAGAAGATTGAGATGGCTAGGTATGTCCACTGTGTGTCAACTAGGTTACTGATGCTTGTTTCCTGGAAGAGAGCAAGATTTGCAAGTAACAGAGCTGTCAGGCTGCCAACACCCCTGACCGCCTGTGCAAGGTTCACACGTCCTTCTGCACGCTGAGGTGGTCCACAGAGAGCTATGAACGGATTCGCCGAAATCTCTAGAGTGGATAGTCCCAGCGCAGCAATATAATTGGAGACGACAAACCCAGCGAACGAGCCCAATATGGCGGACGGCCAAAACACCAAAGCGCCGACAGCGAATATACATAATCCCGCGATGATTGTGATTTTGAACCCAAACCTTGTCAGGACATAATACGAGAAGGCGGGAGGGGCGGTAAAGTAAGCCGCAAAATAGACGCAATGAATTGCAACTGTTTGGCCTTTCGTGAAACCAACAAGGGCCTGGAATTTTGTGTTCAGTGCGCCAAGCAGTCCGTAAGCGAAGCCCCAGAGGAAAAATAGGACGGTAACTATCAGTAGCGGTGAGAGCGATTCACGATCGGTTAAGTCAACCAAGGATTTTTGATGTTTAGTAGGACCAATATGCGGCGTTGGCACTTGTTCTGGATTTCGACTGCGGACTCGAACTTCGGTTGTGGGCAAATAGAAGCCATGTGCTGGCTGAGAAGCTGGGCGTTTCATGAGCTGTAGCTCGATATTATGCTCCTCTCCTTGATATATGGACGAGTTTTGGGACGTGAGTGGTCGCAAGGAATTCGAAAGATGTCGTGAGGCAGGATTTGATTGCTGCGCCGTTGGATTACTTCCGCTGTATGCCATATGACCACCAGACGGCATCTTTCCTGCTGCCCTGGAGCCCGGAGAACCGAAGAGTTTAGGAGCGATACGAACAAATAGCGGTTTAAGGACGGGGATACAGGCGCAAATGATCCCAACATTCACCTCAACGCTTGACCACATGAATGTGAACGCTGTGTACCAAAATGTATTCGTTTGAGCAGAAGACTGCTCGCTGTTTTTCAAAGTCTCGAGGCGGGCGGTTGAGCTTTGCTGCAAATAAGCAATCCGCACCACATCAATAACAGTCACAAACCCGCCCAAAGCAAAAGTCGCTACCAGGATGATCTTCTGTTTGGACGGAAGAACAAGGCCAGTTAAAAGTGGCATAGGTAGGATTAAAATTACCAAATCCGTCAGAATATTCACAGGAGCCCCAACCAAGTATAGTGTGACGATATCAATGCACTTCTCACTGCCTGAAACCAAGTCGAAGGATTTGGTTATTGGTCGGCACCGGAAAATGGACAGAAGAGTGAATACAAGGCCACAAAGGTTAACAATCACCAAGCAGGCCATTGTTGCAATGCGGAAGAAGGCCAAAGTTCGAGATAGGCGTCGGTAAAGCATAAGAATAGAGGTTTTAGTTGCCATGAGGGCAGGGTTCTAGATTCAGAAAACTCGTTAGATCACCGACATAGGACTTTCTTTCACACTGGGTCAACTAACATAGAGCACAGTAAAGACGTATGTCCATTGCAGAAGCCGATACTCCCAGTCGCTGGGAATGTCGCTATCATACCTCCCCAGGCCATTAGTCGTCGCAAGGATGACAGAAGCCGAAAGACCGATGGCGATAAGCTGCGTCGAACAATTAGTCGCACGCCCTTTTTCCGATCGCAAAGGGACAGGGATCCGCTTACCCAGGCCAGAAGCAAGCAGTAATCTTCGCCACTAAGGTGTCGCACAATAAGACCACGAGAAATAAACCGCAAAAGTACAACCACAGTAGACAAAGTGATCACAACTGCAGTTACCACTCGGACGAGTGGTCCACGGTCTGGTATGTCAGCACTCATTTTTCACTCATCCTTTGTTTAATAGTGAGGTTGCAAGGGTATGCAGCATGAGCATCCATGATACAAAGAGGATAACAAGATGTACTTACTCTAAATACATCCCCTAGGTTAGTGTCGCAAAGGCCTAGCCTTTTCAGACCTCTAGGAATTGTACTACGCTGTTCAGATATCCGCTTATAATTCCCAATTCCACATAAAGGATTATTACATATGAAGGGAAGGTTTATGGTGAAACCCCAACCAGGGCACTGCTCCGAAGAGGGCTGGAGACTTACCTTTAGGCCAGGATTTGGATTCTCTTTGCTCTGTGGTCGAAGTTATGTTAGTAAACTCAGATCCGAGACAGCGCTGAGCTAGGGCGACGTTGGTCGCTTTAACATGCTTTCCTCAAGCCATTAAGGAAATCGCCTGTATATCAAACTTTCGCGCCATAAATCACATCACTGGCCACGATTAAGCGAGGCTTTGATGAGCGTGGCGCCCGCTTTAAGGGGGCTACTCTAGAATTCAGAAGCAAATTTAATAAGACTGAGAGAAGACGGGACAAGATTAGGTTTCGTGGGGTGGCCTACGGAGGAGGGCAATCTTTAGTAAATATCAGGCATCTAATCTAGTGGACCAGCGTGCTAATCTTACAAAAGGCAAAACTAGGCATTCCCCATGAATGGCTTAGCGCAAAACTTTAGCAACTACGCGTCCAATCTCGCGGACAGGCTTTGGGCCTCAGAAAGAAACCAGCTACAGCTTTTCCACTGATAAGCATATTAATTTGCTGGAAAAGATAATTTCTGTGAGGGGCTGTAGCAGAATTAATTCAATTATACCAGGCCAACATGCTGTTTACAATAAGCTTGAGGAGGGAGAGAGAATCTCTCCCATCCTGGGGAAACACATGGGAACCTTTCTACCAAAGGTGGTGTCCGTCTGAGACGGACGATAGTTTCTGCCGAAATTCAAGGGACAATCTATCAACACGCCCGCTCTGGATCTAACCAATCCCTAGAAATTGGTTAAATAAAGTATCTTTTCTCATACTCCTTTGCAAATTGTCTCTCTTCTGCCGCATCTTCTTTGGCCTTCCTAGTCGCAATTAATTGATTCGCATCGCGTATGGTTAATATACTAAGATGGCTAAGCCCTTTGACCTGCTGCTATGACTTAGATCACCGTATCAGTTCGTGTGCAGTCCTAAATCTCGTGTCTGTGTCAATGGCCATTGAAGGTATCAAGCGCCGTATAAGTATGGTGGAGATACGCTCGCTCTTTTGCTGAAGCTTTGGTGTAAGATGCTCTGTGTGCTTTACTAGCTTTGCCTAGTTATTTTGAAGGACTGTGGTTGATTTCGGTGGTGTATTTTCAAGGCTAAATGATGAGAAATTAGCCGGTGGCAGGGTTGGTGTACAGGAGCTGTAGGAGCGAATGTCAGGCGTAATTACAGTGGCATGTCAAATGTTTGAATCCAGCGTATTTACCGCTAGCCTGATTAGGAATCCTTATAGATTTTCTATGAATCCTCGAACAACTCCACCTAATATTATGGACCCCATGGATGTTCTGATTGCATCTGGGGTGATAATTCTTTGCAGGGCGCCATAAGGTTAATTAATTTAGTAAGGTTTTCAAAGATATAACTTAGTAGTAGAGTAGGGAATCCCTAATTAGGCTAGCGGTAAATACCACTGGATTCAAACATTTGACATGCCACTGTAGATTCGGTATCTTATCTCACCCATTAGATAGCTGCTTAGTACCTTGCTACTACTAACTGGCTAGGTACTGCGACCTTTAAAAGATTCATGAATGATTCACTAGTTAAAGGCCTTTAATGGTACAGGCCTGATCTCCTGTAGGAATTTAGCATCCCCATCGGCTCACCCGCCTAACAAGAAATCTTGTTATTCGGGCTTTGGAAATGCTTTTTGTAGCTCACAAATAGCTTGCTGTCAAGTGGCCAGTAAAAATAAGTTGAATGAAGTATAAAGCTGAAGGGTACAGTATTGTGATCCTCGCATTTCTACAAGAATTTGAGGGCGAGGTGGGCGCTGTGGCCATTGGAGATAAGGATATCCTTCTCGCCGCGCTTCGCGCAACTGTCATGATTTGTTGTCTCATCATTCTATAATCTAGCTATTGGTTGGCTAATTGATCAATTTAGCCATTTAGTGAGGTTCCAACTATTGTAACTGGTGGTAAATCTTTGCTGCCGTCGAACCATGCTTCCATAAAAACGCCGCCGCTTTTGAATATGAATAGCGGATCCATCTGCTAGCTATCAATAACAATACATTCAAGCACAGTAATATTTTCGCCTTGCTTAGTCTCAGCATGACAGGCCAGATCTCTTAGTGCCCTTCCTACCAACTACATGCTGGTTTTCGCCGTTGCCTGGTCGGAAGCCACACTGGAAGTTATACACTAGCTTGGTTTGGGTTTGGGGGGGGGAAGAACACCTTTAAGTAGGGTTTTAAGCAGATTGTACCAGCGGGCTAGCAGGCCTGCATCTTCTGTTAGATCTGCCTAGATTCTTTTGTACACTGCTTCACTGAGCCTAGCTGTAGGTTGGGTGGGAGACTAGAGTTGCATTTGGTGTGAGTTCAGGCAAGTTCAACCTTAGGTGGCACTGAACTGCTGTAGTTTCAGGTCAAAATTTTAGAACTCATAACTAAATTAAACCCAGTGTAATTTAGTTGCAGATTCACTGTAAAAACCTAGTAACAGTGTCGTGCGCAGAGTCCATAGTTCCTATACTAATTAGGGCTGACTATAAGGTCTCCAGAGTGTAGAGTCCACAGTCCACTCCTAGAGTCTATAGTCAGAGTCCATAGTCAGAGTCTATAGTTAGAGTCTATAGTTAGTCTATAATTAGAGTCTATAGTTAGAGTCTATAGTTCACTCCTAGAGTCTACTCCTAGAGTCCATGGTTAGAGTCCATGGTTAGAGTCTATAGTTAGAGTCTATAGTGTGATATCGAACAGCGGGCATATGGCTTCAGGGAAGCCATATTGGGTGTGCAATGATATCTAGTAACTAATATTACTATTTATATAGTTAGTTAGACCTTACATTCATTCTTAGCTTAGGTTAAAATATAAAAGATAGCTAGAATCCCTTAAAGTAAAGAAGATATATATAAGGTAGCTACTAGCCTACCCCCTACCCTTATACTCTTTAAAGACTCTACATCCTTAATAATAATAAATATCCTATCTAGTAGTATATCTAGATTAAGTAAATATATAATACTTAATTCTTAGGAAGATTTAAAACCTCTTATAAAGGATTAATCTAAACTATAGTAGCCTTAGTCTACTAACCCTTAGAAATATTATTAATAATTTAACTTTAATAAAATTACTTATATTAATTATCCCTAATTTAATAGAAAATACCTTAGATTAATAGTTTTAACCTTCTTAGACTAATTAAGATACCTAAGAGGGTAATAATTTACTATAGAGATATTCTTATTAACTCTTCCCTATAGTAATATTATAAGTTATAGACATTATAGGCTATTAGAGTCTTTTAAAATAGTAATAGATATAGGATTAATAATTTAACCTTAAAGAAAGATAAATTAGAGTTATTAAAGTTATTTTAATAAGTTTAAATTAATATTAATAATTATTAAATCTAACTTTTACTCTTAATTAGATATTATTCTTTACTTAATAAAATAGATAATATTAAATCTATATCTTCTAGTATAGAGACCCCTTAAATCTAGGCTACTAATTATAGTAATAGCTTTAAGATAGAATATCTTTAACTCTAATAGTAGTTTACTCTTACTATCTAGGGTATAAATAAAGATATCTAGGCTAAACTAATTTAGTTATATAAGTAGCTAGTTAAACTTCTCTAAGACTAGTATAACTATCTAGATTATATTAATATAGATAGGGCTATAAAAACTATAAATACTACTTCTAATTTTATAGTTCTTCTTACTATTACCCCTAAAATACTTAAGCTATATTAAAAGGTTTCTAACCTTAAACTAATCTTTATATATAATAGTAAGTATAGTAAGGATGCTATAATAAAATAGCTCTAGTAGATTAATAAATATTTTTATAATAAATAAACTCTTACTTAGAAAGAAGCTACTAAACTTAAAAAGGTTATAGTAGTTAAATATTATCTTATAGACTAGGCTAAAGAGTAATAGGATACTTATAAGTAAAAGATTAAATATAATTTAATAGCTATTATAACCACCTTAGATACTTTTAAATAGTAGATCTAAGACTATTTTAGAGAGATTAGAGAAGAGAATAAATATTAGGAAGAGTATAAAAGATATATCTAAGGAAACTAAACTATATAATCTTATATTACTTCCCTAATTAAAGCTACTAAATATATTAAATCTAGAATTCTAGATAATATATTAATCTAGAAGTTTATTACTAATTTAAAGCTAGTTCTATGTACTTACTAGGTAGAAGATTATAATAAATTAACTACTTTTAATAATATAGTTTATTATTTTATTAAGTATAAATAGGGAGTGGCTCTATATACTTAAGTATAGCTTTAATTCTTTAGTAAGATTAATAATTACTAAATAGATCTAATAGATATTAATTTAAATGCTATTACTGCATCTCCTAATTAACTAAAGAAGGGGATGCATGAATAGAAGGTATAGTATTAAACTAATTAAGCTTACTTTAATTATAGATAGAGAGGCTATAATATTTAAGCTTATACTATATTAAACTAGCTATAACTAAATTACAAGTTAGGAAAAGTAATAGACTACTAGATATAGAAGTATTAGTTAGTTAACTATTATAGGCTTCTAAAGTTAAGGAATATAAAGTATTTAATAATCTTAAACTACTAAAGGATTATAATGATTCTAATAAAGATAGTAATAAGGAAAATTAGCTACTATAAGAAGGACTATTTAATATAATAAAGGTAGATTTAGAATAAGAAGATTATAATAGTATTAATACTTATTTAAATACCCTTAAATCTAATATTCTCTA